AATGCTTTGAGAAACATTATTTCCTGTGGGAATCCCCGCAAGATGAAAAATGAGTTTGGCTATGCAACACTTGCCGAAAGTACGTTATCTAGTTTTGCATCATTGTAACCTTATAAAACTTTCAAGCTTTAAAACTTATAAATAAGGTAATAACTCCAAATTTGCAAAATCAGATATTGATATTTAGTAAAAAGTAATATTTCGAGGGATTTTATCTTTGAACACACTAGTCAAACAAAGTTTCCCGTAGTGGGCGCCATTGTAAGTAATTACAACCCAACGATTATGGCAGGAGTTAATTAAAAAGTTACATTTAATCGGAGTTCACAGTGATGATTGGAAACCCATTTTTATGGGAATATCCGGCAATACTGTATTATTGTAATAAATTGTATCATATTTCTCGTAAAGTATATCATTTTTATTTCTAGAAAACAAGAAACCCTGCCATCTGTACAGAAAGTAGTACATATGCTGAAAGATTACAGAGACGAGGAATACAAAATAGCTTTCAAAAAGGGAAAACTGGGGATGCACTTACAGAAAAAGGAACAAATCGATGCATTTTTGCTTTGATGGATGTGGGTATTTTGTTTTTATAATTCTCTCTTGTACAGGTGGACAAACCGGAACAGGGTGCATGCAGTGTGTGTGTTGGTGTGATGTGGGTGGGCTAGAGGGGGGGGGGGGGGTGTCATGGGTATGTGTGGTGCGAGTGTGTGATTGGGTGGGACTGTACAATGTATACCTTCCTCTAAGGTTATTTTGATTGTAAATTTTTTTCCTGTATGTAATAGTTTATAATTCCAGATTTTTCTATGTTAATTATTTATTGATTGATGTAATTTATGTAGTGTTTCATATTGAACATCTTGTTTTGTATTACTTACTGTGATTTTTTTTTTTAATGTGAATTGTATGAGGAAGGAAATAAAATACAATTTAATACAAAAAATGTATAGTTTGTAATCGATCATAGAGAATAGAACTGGGGCCCGTATCACAAAGGTAAGTAATTGATCGTACGAGCAATTGATTGATCAATTGCAAAGCGTTGGGGCTCACGATCAATTCCAAAGAGGGTCAATTGATTGACCAAATGCTAATTTTACTACCATTCAACATTATCCACCCCTGCAATATCCTAATTTTGAAGCTCTCACTGTTTTTCTAAATTTTGTGAGCGAGTGAATTAAATGCACCTTCATAGAAATGTATATTTCAACAAATTGTGGAGACTAACGACTAATCAAAAGAGTAGTTATATTATTTTAAGCATCTAAAAAGAAGAATTTTCATATTATTGGTTAAATTGTTCTTTAATGAAGATACCCGGTTTAGAATGTACTCCAAGAAAAACGATACATGATAAAAAAAAAAAATTAAAAAAAAAAAAAAACCTTTAAACTGCATTTTAATTTTTTTTAAATATAGATTCGTCTCTAAAATGAGTATTCTATCAACGTCAATTCATCAGAATCATTAAATAATGTTCCGTAGATCTGTCGAAATTACAGTGAAAGGGTTTTTTTTACATATATTTACCTAAATGATAATAATGATAATACAAATAAAACGTTTCGGTCCCTAGATTAGGTCAAGAGATAGAATTAGGCAAAAATCAAGAAAGGAATTCAGAAGAGACTGAGTTTTCAGTCTCTTTTTCAATTGGTCAACTGCGACTGCATCCCTAACAGCATGAGACATTCTGTTCCATAATTCAACAGCTGCTACCTGGAATGAATGAGCTCCACATGACTTTGTTCATTTTCCCCATTATTCTTTAGGAATAATGAGTAGGGACGTTAAATATTTATGGATGCTTGGAGTATCAAATGTGCTGAAAAATGGATAGCGTAGATTTTATTTTAATCGGCGACACATATTTCATATTTCAAAATGCCTTTCTTTAACTGCCAATCCAGGCATATTTACCCCCCCCCCCCTTAATATTCTCTCTCTCTCTCCCTCATTCTTTGTCTGCCTCTCTCTATCTCTTTTTGAAAAATATATGTATACATATATCATGGGAACCGAACATACGACTTTAAAACATGGCTTTAATGCCCGATTCCGTGCAAAAGTCATTACAAATTTAGACAGATTTTTATCTGAACGATGATGGACTTCGACTGTCATAAAATCGCCAGTAAAAAGGTTTGTTCGAAATAATTTCAGTTTAAAATATCCACTGACTGCATTGCTAACTTGAGATTCACATTAATTTAGTGATCTCATATCTCAAACATTCACAAATTCTTAACATTGACCTGATTTTGTTAAAACTTTCGCCGTGCTTTTTCTTTCATTTGTCGGCCTCCATACCAATGACGCTAGGGTTAAATTGCCCTTTACTAGAAATGTTGAAGTATACCCATGTTTAAGCAATTGCACACGACAACGTAGATGTAAACGTGCGCTTGGTTAATACATTTTTTAAAGTTTATTTTTCGTTTTGATTTGTTCGGAAATTACATATACATCTTTGTTTAATGATTAAATCGCTAAACTTGTTGATTAATCGATCCATTAACAACAACAATAACATAGAAGAGAAACGAAAATTGATCATTCGCTTCAATCTCTTGTTTAGGGCACATGACTGCGATATCATAACATATACAGAAAAACTTTCTTTTGTCCTGTTCTTTATTCCCACAGGCCGAATGAAAAAATAGAGAGCTATATATATATCAGTGGATGAAGTTGAGGTTTGACTATTAACTTTTCTTGATTGCTTTTTATTGCTAGATTTAATATACGAACAAAAAGATGTAAGGCAATATCTCTTTACCATACACAAAATGGAAATGCTTTCTGTCAAGGGAGAATGGTTACTTATATCAGTCCATATTTACTCGAATACCCTAATGGATTTGGGTGCTTTTGAAATAAAACTCTGAAAGGATATTATTGAATATACCATTAGAGGAGAGTAATTCGCTTGATGCCAAGCATAGTTATACCAACGTCTCTCTTTTTATTTTTCTAGAAAACTTAAAAGAAAATCGTGACAGGTTCGTTTATAGCCATCATTCGCATTTATGCTATATTTGGCAGACACAGCGGGATAATTAATTTCTCCTTTCAAAAATATAAGATTGACACGTTTAGTAAAAGCATGTTTTAGTGTCCCCAAGGGGAAGGACTTTTCTCTTATTCAATGCTTCTATAACCATAACAAGTTTAATGCATTTAAGCATTGACTGACATGCCCTAGTTGTGCATTCCTACGGTTGTATCGAGAAAGAAACTAGTAACTACAAGAGTCAAATGAGATACTGAAAACTATTAAAAGAGGAGGGTTTAAAAAACCAGCGCAAACCCACTCAATGTGGACAATATACAATGCCCATGAATGTGTTCATAAAAGCATTGAAATATTTTCTTAAAACCTTAAAAATCTTTAAATCGTTTCTAATTGGCTTTGCTTCCCCATTTCTATGTCTGTAATTGAAAGAAGATCTGAAATGGCCTTTAACTCGAAAATTTTATTCAATCATCAATCATCTCGCAATGAATCGCTAGGCATGAGGTAAATGCCTTTAGTCCAATGTCTATTATTATGTTCAATCTTGATTCAAAGGAAATGTGATATTTTAAAAACATGTAAGGAGAGGCACAAAAGGAAATAGAAAAAAAACCGAAATATGCCCTATGGCTATCGTGGTGATGTTTCATTCCAAATTGATTAAACAAAGTAACGACATTCTCAACGGACGCACCCCCCCCCCCCATGTTTGTGCTTCAAAAAGTGGTGTCACTAGACTTTTATGAATGCTGAGAGGGGGGTGGTGTCGAACAAAATTGTCGTAAATGCAGTGAAAACCTCTCTAAAAATTCCAAAATATGGCATTATTTATATTTCTTTTAACATAACCGTAAAATGGTCGATCCGACGTAAAACATTTATAGTGTGGAGGACGGCGATTAAATATTCTAAAGCGAGCCCCTGTCTAGAAAGCGCGTTTGTTTATGATGCCGGTTACCATGAATATAATTTGAAGAACCTCCATAAAACCCATACGCTTTTTCAACAACTTCGGCTTCTTCTCGACGCACAGTGGTACAAAAGCCGACCGAACCTACATGTACTTTGTTAACGGAATTGGTGCTTGTGCTTGACGAACCTATTCACGTTGCATTAGAGGATCCGATGATGACTCTCATTTCGGTAAATATCTTCCTCGTCGTTGGAGATTAGCCCGACTGGAGAAAGGTAATGATCTGTTAAAACATGTACCTCTTTTCTGTTTTCCCCCTTGTTCTTTCATTCCCTATGCTACTTTTCTCCTTCTTCTTTTGATCATTATTCCCTTCATCAAAATTGTTAGAATTATGATGATGATAACGATATTTATCATTACCATTATTGTTATTGTTGTGAATGTTGTTGGTATTCATATCATTATCATTAACATGATTATTTTCAACTCAGTAACGTGTCAATAACTGTTTTGTGGTAAATTATTTCAATTTGGTGATATAAGAGTTTGAAGTAGAGATGTCAGGTAAAAATTGACAACTTGTCCAGCTTTCCATGTCATGTCAGAATTATTCAAGAGTAACAAGTGAAATTGTGACGATTTTGACGCATCGTATCTGAATGCGGCAAATGGGTTGGGTTCATTGTGGGGTTACTGTTTACCGTTTAGGTTAGGTATGGATTAGGTTAGGATAGCCATGATTGCGTTGGGTCCGGGTCGAAGTAAGGTATTTGGTTCGTGTAGTAGAAACCGCGGAGCAACCGTCGCAAGAACGTGTGTCGTACAATCATGTTTCATTTATAAGTTTAACCTTTAGAATGTTGCGCGTTCTTATATTGTGTGTAGATGATGTTAGTGTTTTTGTTTCTGTTTTCCCCGCTCGCTTGCCTTTGCTTATTAGAGAAATCTATAATGGAAGCACATTGATGGATTTACTTTCGTTATTACATTTGCAGTGAAATTACACAAGGACCTATCCAGGATTCAACAAGAGGCGCGATAGAATTGATCACCATGCGTACCTATAGCGAGCCAGTAACCAAAGTAGAACTAACCACTGTTACTCAAATTTGGACAGAGCTCTATGAAGACTTACATGTACAGACCGATGAAAGTGCCTTTGAAACCTCTCCAAGTATTTCTACATTTCCGCCCGCTGATTGGTTGTGGGACCCTGTCACGTGGTCATGGTGGGAGATACTTCAGACCGTGTTTGCTTTGTTGGGCGTGATCGGGAACCTGCTCGTCATGGTGGTTCTGTTTCAGAGGAGGGCATCGAGAAGGCCCGCGGACACACTTATTGGCGCCCTCGCAGCGGCTGATCTTCTGACGTCACTATTTATGTTTCCACACTCGACGCCACGAAAAGTACCTGGAACGGTCTTCGGGAATTTCGTCTGTAAACTATTTAAGTCGTCTGCTCTTCTATGGGTATCCTGCTCTGCATCGATATTCACACTGACCGCGATATCGATTGAACGTTGCATAGCCGTTGTGTATCCGCTCAGAGCAAAACGATTATTAACACGCCGTCGGGTTGTGATAAGTATCGTTGTAATTTGGTTGTGCTCTGTAATGTTCGTTGGCCCCGAATTTGTTTTTCATATTGTAGAACCGCGATCTCACAATTGCATATTTCAATACCAGTCTACCGTTGCACAGGAAATCTATGGCATTTTTGTAATCTCTGTATTTTTCCTCATACCATCATTTGTAATGCTCATCGTTTATATTTTGATCGTAGCAACTCTTCATAAGCAGGTCCTCCGCTTTCCCCAAGGTCTACGAAATCATCACGCGAGTCCTGCGTGCAAGACCCTTCTTGCAAAAAAGCGCGCCGTTAAACTTCTATTCATCATTGTAGCCATGTACGTCATTTGTTGGGCCCCAAATACATTCGCTTACCTAGCCGTTAGTATCCACTGGGTGGGTGCAAGCTTTGTCTACAGCCCGCCATACGAAGGGCTGGTCGCTCTTGCGTTCTTTAACTCATGCGTCAACCCTATAATCTATAGCATCCACTGTCCCGAGTTCAGGAAAGCTTTGCTTGAAATTTTCACCCAAGAGTCGACACTGACCAACCGGGCACCTTTGTTTGGTCAAGATTTCAATGGACAGCTACAGAAGAGATCGTCAATTGGTACAATTTATTTGACAAATAGCGCACCGGGAAAGAATGATCGAAAAGCGTAATGCTAATTGAATCGAGACGTTAATAGGGACTTTTAGATTTGCACGTCGACATAGTGGACTGCTACGCGAGACGTCATAAGGCACCGTGCATGCATCATGTCGTCTCCGTCGTCGACTATCAGAAATGAGAACGCGTCCACCTTAATTTTCCCGTTGTCCTAAATATAGACCGCCTTGCACTTGTTTTCACATATGTGACGTCATCTCAAGCCGCAAGATGAATGACCAAACAGTCAGAGATATAATTTTGTCTTAGAGAAACAACAGTTTTCACAAAACTGAAGTAATTTTGGTGGTACCCTTCTCTTTATTCTCATTAAAACTCTTTTGTCCTGAACTGCGAAAGTTTGATTGGTGTGTTATAGCATCCGTATAAGGATGGCAGTGCTAGTGGCAGTATGCATGAGCTTCTTCTTCACACCTTCCTGTCGATGTATATCGTCGAGTGAAAGCTACAAGATCTCTATCTGTAGTCAACAGGGGCAGTCGACTACGTTGACACACCTGATCAGTGGACATTCACGCCGTTCTCGTCCACTCAATCAAAAAGTCCCTTTGTGATGAAGCAGGACTGCGTCACCAACTGGCATGGTCTTTAACACGCCATGGGAGATCTGATTCTTATTGGTGTAATTTATTTCTTAAATCAAATTGTATGGTTGTATATACTTCTTCTGGATCGCGTAACGTTCAATCGTTCGTTGATTATCACATAAATGTAAGTAGGCATGCTGTTTGATTCATTATACTTGTCTCAAAATTAAGAATTTTCTGATTCTAAATGAGACGATTCACATATTTCATCACAATGAATTTCGGACGCTGACACCAAAGAAGGCAACATAAATGTAAAGAAGTTATTTATCTATTTATGAAAAGAAGTATTTTAATTAAGTTTGACAAACGAAATTTATAGCTTCCTCTGTGTAAACATGTGTATAAAAATTCAAGATTCAAGATAATTTATTGTCATGTAAAAATACATACATTTTGTTTTTGGACATTTGAAGGTGCATCCACGTAAATATATATATAAATATATACAAAATAATTAAATTTTAACATAAAATTTTGTTTTTGTTTTTTAATTGAATTGAAATCACATCTAATGTTTTAGTTATTACCAACGGAACATTTTGTGCATTTTAGTGTGATGCTTATGTTAAGTCTACCGTTATTTGATATCAAATGTCATAACTGGAAAGACGATAGATTGACCACTAGTTCGCTTCATTGGCATTGCCCATCACCAAGAAGATGTAACAATCATGTCTGTGTCGTTACTCAAACGGTTAATCAAATCATGATTTGCAAAATATGAAAGGGAATAAACTTTGTTAGCAGCCACAACAGGGAAAAGTCACATATGAGTGCTCGTAAGACATTCAATACTCCTTCGTCTTGAAAAGGTATGAACGGATATTACTGCCATTAGACGTATATTTAGAAAAGAAAAGTGCAACTTATAAAACTAGTCGTGCTTGTAATTATTTGTATTACAGTTCTGTCAAAATAAAAACTTTCGTCAACCAAATTTGCGGTCATCTTACTCTACAGGTTCCACAACATATCTGAATGAATATAGGGAAATGAAGACTGTACCTCTAATCCATTACTCCTCGATAGTGGATTCGTAGATTTGACTTTCCGGATTACAACTTTCAATACACCTAACAACTAAATTATTTATATCCTTAGCAAGTTTTGTCATTTTCTGAGGTATATTTGTCCCAATATTCCTGAGAATGTGATTTCCTAATGCTTACATCTAATAGTATTCAATGAAGGCCCTAATTTAACCAGTGCACCTTTCATTCTTGAGTCAAGAAAACACAAACATCAAATTTAACCCATTGCTTACTGGAACCTGGTGGTCCCTGTGTTAAGCCTATGGGAATTAGATAATTCAGTAGCCAACGGGTGAAAAGGGTGTGAATAATTCAGATGTTAACTGTATGTGTATACAGTACAAGCTCGTGCATTCTCAATAGAATGGGGGATCATGTAAATGCTACGAATGATTATAACCATCGTAAACATATATAGTTAACTGAATGTCTTTAAAGTACAAATTTGTGCATTTTCAACAGAATGGGGGCATCATGTACATGTTATGAATGATTATAATCATCATAAACATAGTCATCAATATTTACAAGCACATTATTCCTTATAAATTCGTATGTCTTCCGAAACATTGACTGGCGTATCGAACATCCGAAAGACACACCCTAACCGTCTGAATTCGCTTAATCTTCATGATCATACAAAACGACTCCGGCAACTCGCATACATGACCCTTACCCCCCCCCCCCCCCCCCCCCCTCCGCCCGCTATCTTCATCAGGGGACGATTCCACCCACCCCTCTTTATCAAATTCTGGATACTCTATTCTCAAATTCTCAGATTCTCATAGATTTGCCCTTTGATAGTATCGTAGGTCTCTGTTGGTTTTGGTAGTGGTTTAGGAGGTCGGCCTTGCATAGAGGGCTTCTTAAAGGTCGCCATAGGAATGTAACCATCGTCGAATACATCCGCGTCTTCTGTCTCCGCGAATGGGACGTTCATGGAAGAGTCGTTATGCATGAATGCCTGCCGTAAGGAATAAACAATAATTATGACAGATGATTATATCAACTACGTAACGGAGGTCTGTCCACAATCAAAAGTGCAAGATATTAAAGAAATAAATTCCTTTGTCCTTACGAAATATAAGCGCAATTAGTATTATGTTTATAATGTAATAACAACTTTTCATAAGACAATATACCAATGAAAACAAAATTCATGCAAGTCCAAGACGGTTGAAATATTATTTTTTCACATTCTCATACTTTTTTTTTTGTCAAACGAATGTGATAACAGGGTGCAAGCAATTTTATAATCTGACACAAAGTTATCTTTTAATAATAATATGGATATTTATATAGCGCCGGTATCCGCCAGGCTCTGACGCTCATGGCGCTGTACATGCATACATGTATTACTATCACAAAAATATAACTTTCTTAACTAAAATAAAGTAAACTAAAACAACACAAATTATTACGCTACATTGACATGATTAAATAGCACTTTAGCTACAAAGTGTAACATTTATAATTCATAGCTAAACATTAAGGATCAAGTGTATATTCATTTTGTGTAATTCTATTGTTTTAAACATCAGCCCATTTAAGCAGCCCCGATACTCACTCGATCACGAGGTTGATCCGGTATCGCATATGTGAAATCTACAATGTGATATGAAAATACATTACATTAAAAAAAAAAAAATATCAGGACAGTTTTAAATTGTATCGAAGACAATTAGAAATCATGTTTTGTATGTTATGCTCGTATGCAATAAACAGAAACTGTAACATTTGAATGCGGGTAAAATGGGGTAAAAGATGTCACCCGATGGCCATAGAATGTTAACACGTTGGCAAGTGTCTCTCCCCTCCCCATTCCATTAGCCCCTCCCACTAAATGGAAATACAGAAACCAAAGCGACACGAAAAAATTAAAATGGGCGGAATGTGACAGCCCCTCCCCCTCATTAATTCGCTACCCGCTCAACCTACAATGGACTTATCTTCGTTCTCTATATTGACGGTTCGATTCTTACCTTCATAATCATCATCATCTGTGTTTCCTTGGGCATTCAGTCTATCAGGGGGTAGTGTCGGTGGTGGTGATGTTGGTTTCGGCGGCATTGAGAATGCAAGGGGTTGATAGCAACTGCTCGGGGATTGCGGGACTGTATCAGATGTTACGATTTCTAAAAGTGAGAGAGATAAAATGGGAGTTTATAAATAGTAAATTGTTAATAGATGAAGAGAAGTTGTGGTGTAGTGGATAAAAGTTGGGGATTCAGCTCCCTATCACAATGCTAACGTTCATTGGAAAGAAATTGGTCTACATTCGCTACACATCACTTAGGTGAGCTAAATGGATAAATGATAAGATCATTCATTGAAATGCACTGCACGGTATACAATAACGAATTTAAACAGGATTGCCATATTAATTCCTCAGAATTAATATATGCGTGTTCTTTAGAAAAATAGTATAGCGACTAACATACGATTATTCTAAGATTTTTCTAAAATAGAACTGCAGATTGTTAATCAGGAAACATCCGTTTAATTCATTGTTGCAAAATATACATGTAACTGATTAACATAGGTTTAACGCAATACGTTTTTATTTGATGAGTATTCCACCTGGTAATATCAAGATTAAACAAGGAGAAAAATGCATGTAACTTACTGCTTAGTGTTCTTATTGTCTCCTTGCTTCTCTTTCTCTTCCTGCACATACATCGACACAAGAGTATTATTATTACTAATAATATGACACCCCCGATAGCTGAAGCGATGATGATGATGATAATCCAAGGAATCTCTGCAAGTAATGTGAAAGTATAATACGAGAAGTAGTTTGGTAGTGTGATCAATAACAACTTTAATTACAGACATGAGTTGCTATAAAAATAAAGAAATCGGTAAAACTTTAGAACACGTTAGGTGAACATGATTAGCAGTTAATGTAAGCATTTCTTGCGATATTCATTTGGACACATGCATTGAAGATATAGTCTTTCAGCACTTACAGGATCCAAAGGTTACAGGCTACTAAGCAATCTAGTATGACGGATTGAAGGGAGAAGAAATCCGACTAATAAGCAGAAAATTATTAATGTCGAAAGTTGTAATTGCAATAGGTATAGGCTCTTCAAATTGGCAGAATCGGAATGACTCGGTGATGTAGTGACGGACAACCTTCCCATTTGTTTGAACGAACAAAGTGACTATATTTCCGAAATTTTCAAAGATATATACCTCGGGAGGTCTTTTTGTTTTATTTTACAGGATCTATGATAATATGCTATCCATATGATATAGTACTGCCCCAGTCGGGAGAGTTATCCACAACTACGTCACAAACTGAAGAGAATGTGAAATTCGCTTTGACTTAGTGATCTCATATTTTTTTAAAATCACAACTTTCTCATTATCGTTACTATTTATTTGAAATTTTCACCTTTCTGTTTATCTTATCTTTCTGCTTTCAAAATAAGAAAAATTACGAGGATGGAATTGCATTTTAAAACTCGATATAGTCAGATCTGGGGCCGTGTTCTGAAAACAATCCTCTATTTTATGTTAGGGGATAACGACGTTAATAGACATAACAAATTGAAATTGCGTGAAACTTACCATTAGTGTTTAAGCAGATTTAAGTATTTAACTTTACGAATACACGGTACGGTTTGCGCCAACAATAACCAATGACTTTTCGCAAGTTTGATTTGTTAGGGCAATTAATATCGTTAAACTAAAATGACGGATAACACTATTTCCAGAATACGAGTTGATGTACGATGTTTTGTAAAAAATCGAGTTAAATTCATACATTGCGTAACTGAACAGTGTGTACCTTGGTTGTTCTGGACTACCACCATACTAGGTACGCTGCACAATCCTCGACCACAGCTAATCCCTCGTAGTTGACCCGCTAATAGATCGCGCTGAACAGTCTTGACCACGCCCACATTGAGGCATCCTTCTCTTGTGACCCAGTCTTGACCCAGGTTGACCTCGACCTGGATGCAAAGGTCATTGGGAATGGCGCCCTCCATCGTTGACCCGCCTACAAACTGCATGATGACTACTCCCTGGCTTGGGCTGTATGATATTTCAAAACCTTCGAACCAAGGCAAAGACGTATATAAATACCACCAAGAGTGGTTTAAAATAGAGCGATAAATCTAGTGGATTGCTTTACAAACAGACACTGAGAACTATTATAGAAACTGAAAAATAGTTCTGCAATATTAGACACGTGTTTCTAAAAAAAAATTGATCACATCATTCAATCAGTAATATGCGAGGGAAATTTGATGCATTACACGCGGACAACTTTTAAAATTGTTTTCCACTATCGAACATGCGAACCTTTGATGCCCAACTATTGGACATATGACTCTTAAAAACTGCAAGACAGTCCTTATATATAATTCTCTATGTTATTCGTACCGTTTTTTTGTCAGACATAACTGTCATGGCGGTATGTCCACTGGGCCTTCTGAGAAGGTGAGGATCTTCATTTCTGATATTACCGTACTAACTACTAAGAACCATTATTAGTATCTCTCTTTGTTTGCTTTCTTCGCCCATCTGCAATGTCACCAGTTTGCCACTCATGTTATTTACTCAAAAAACAACCATGCATCAATTTACAACGTAATGGCAGAGCAAAATTACCAACCTCCAGTCTTGATTTATTTTGCTCCATGACAACCTTTTTAACACCGGTATAGATGAATGTGCCACTGGAAACAGTCACATTGTATTGAAACCTTGGTATATTTATCTCTTGGCAAATACAATGTTGAACAGGGAGATTGTTTTCATGGCATATATTAAAGTTAATACTTAAATCCTGGTTTAACTCACCTAGATCTGACGGTGATAGTGCTACAAAGCAAATAGGAGAAGACAGTGGTATTAGTACCGCATAGGTAACAAAAAAGCACATCATTTGAGATTTTCTCAACATCCTTAATCACAACATTGAAAAGAGTTAATAATCAAACATGAACCATATTCCAACTAAACTTGAAAACCATTCAGTTAAGTTCGAATATTATGCTTTCTTGTTCCTTTTTGTATATATTTCGATATTCAACTATACATAAATGTGTTTATTATGTATTTTATACAGGGTTCTGTTGAAAAGCAGTTTTCTATGTTCTGAAGAGACTACCCTTAATAAAGTACACAGAATAGATAACCTACTGAATTATACTCAAAGGCCTCCTTGCGATGTCAGTAATGAAGATCGTTTCAATTGTCTCAATTTATTCTCTTTGTGACTGCCATTATAAATCAGCGCACCAATGAGAAACAAAATATATTTCAAATGTCTTCGTGAACATACAATTAACAAAGACGTATGTGCCCAATTCTAAATGTTTAAACGAAATGCTTTTTAGGAGCGAAGAATTGCTTTTGTGAATGATTGAATGCATACATTTCTAATGGGTTGCGAGAAGATGCACCTTGGAAAATATATACTCGTTTTATCTTACGTTTTGTGGAGTTAGTCATAGAAATATGTTCACTCTGCCCGACTTCATTCTCACTCCATACACGTATTGTATACAAGGTGAAAGGCTTTAGAGTGTCTACTACAAATGTGAATGATGAATTCTGAAGGTTGGATAATTCGGGACATGACGTCACTGAATCAACCAAACAGTAAGCCAATCGAAACGTCTGTCTCCTGCCTCCATTGTAACCAGGTTTCCATGTGACCAATAACGATGTTTCTCTGATTGAGTTTCGGGGGGCTTGTAACTCAGTCGGGCGGTCTGGAATAGCTGCGATGGCAATCAAGAAATGGATGGGATTCAATGATAATTGATGTGGACAAAGGGTAATAGGTTGGCATGGAACATTTAAAACATCAACGATCTGCTGCCGTATTTCTGGAAACATTTTTGAAATTAGGTTTATAGGGCCTACATACACTCCTCATGAGATGGAAAAAGTCCCAGAAAAAGCACTCCCTTTTCAATTTTTTGAAAAGGGGAAAGCTCGAGTACACTCTTTTTGCAATATTTGGGGGCTTTTTCAGTTATTCCTATTACCTTATTGTAAAAGATGCATAACAAGTGCAGCTAGGTTATTGAATAAGTAATACTAACAAATGATTAGACAAACTCACTTGCGATTATTAACTCGACGACGCTCGCATCAATACCCAACAAGTTGTTCGCCACACAGGTGTAGTTCCCTGCATCCAGTGAGGCTGATATAGCTTTGATTTCCATCTCAACGCTGATCTGTCGGCTATCAATCCCACCGCTGCCACTCTCCGACCCTCTATACCGAGAGCTGCTCATGTCGATAGGCTCGTCATTAAAGTACCACGTGACCTCAGATGGTGGGTTCGAAATGACGTCACAATACAGAGTGGCTTCATTCCCTTCATTTTCGAGGATGGAGCCCTCGTCCGTTGAAGTGCAAGGGGGAACTGTTCAGACCGAGGAGACATTAGACACTGAGTATTAGCTATAGGGTATGTTTAACTTTGTAACGGATTAGACATACCTGATTAAATCATCTAAAATAATTTGAGCGGTACAAAGAACGCGCAAAAATATCTCAAGAAAGAAGAACAAAAATTGAAATACAAAATTACCAACACGTGAGTTCCATGTTATTTGATATACATGTTAGGGCTATATGACTCTTAGTTTCAATATGTTTTACTTCAAAAGATCAAAATGCAATAATGGATGTTATTTGTAAGAATTGTCCTAATTATTTATTAGTATTCTATAATAAGAACAAGTAGATAATGTTACGATTGCAATCTATTTCTGTTGGTGACACTAAATCTTACATGCTACTTGAAGCTCAAAGCTAGCAGAGAATGAGGTATCAAATCCATTGTTAGCGACGCATTTATGTATACCAGCATCCCCTGCGGTCACGGGTGCAAAGGTCAACACACTGCATACATGACCCGTTGACTGCCTCATCATGTAAGCGCTTTGAGAATGACCCTCAGGTGAACAGGTGACGTTACGAAGACCTTCAGAGTGCCACGTGATCATTCCTTTTGGAGTTGGGTTTGCGTCTGCGCAGCAGGTCAAGTTGATACTCTCCCCTTCTTTGACCTCTCTTAAGAGACCTTCCGGAACCGGAAACACTTCTGGAGGATCTATGCGGGAAATAAAATGGATCCAATAGGTTTTCTGCACTCTATAAGTTTTTCATTTACACGTATTGCTCCTAAACGATCTAAAAGAATCTTCTCAGATAGACTACTTGTTTTGCTGGCTTTCCGAATAGATTCGCGATCCTTCCTATGCGATGAGTTTCCAGAAAAGAGTTAAACGTTCATTGAAAAATGCATATATTTTGCGCTTCGTTCCTTGATTTCTTCCGGTGTGTCCAAGCATTCAAATCATAAAATACACTATGATAGGCCAGAGTAAGCCCTTTGAAATTATAAACGGGTGTGTGGAAAAAATCGATACAATACCGTCCTCTATGACAAGCTTAATATATCATTTGGCATTTCTTCCCTTTACCTTTTCGCAGTACATGTATATACATGTACTTCTTATTGTTGCTAACATGAATTGATCAGGTGAAAACTGACTGAACCCACAAGGGCGTATGACCAAGCAATTAGTGAAGCAACGCTAGAGGCTACATCATTCCGTTCTCCGTCACATTGGCCGAAGTAGGAAACACGACCATGCAACGTTGGGAAGGTCTAAATAGAGACCCATACTTGTCTAATCATGTTTATTGATATTGATACTTGACGTTGATTCGCAAATTCGCATTACAACAGACAATCATCACAGATCGTTACACACATATCTTGACATCGATTATATTGGTATCAGGTGATCATGAATACACTTACATTGAATATCCACAATGCAGGATTGACATATTTCGTCCGGACATAGCGTAGAGGGCACTGTACAGCATTGAAAATCTCTTGGACCTTGGTCTTTGGTGAAATACCTGTCATAAATGACCTCTGTCGTGACCCCATGGATTAGTGACGTCACATCTCTGTAATCCACCATGGTTCTTGTTCGAAGGACAGTCATCCCTTCTTCGATGATGCTCACGACAGTGGCTGGGTTGCTGGTTACTTGGCCACATGTAACAATAGCTGAGCCCCCATCTCGTACGACTGGGCATGTTGCTGAGATGTTCAACGGGCAATCTATCAATGGTAACGATATAATACTTGCTGACTGGATATCATACGAAAGTGCTACTAAATCATATAGCACCGTTTAGTCTCATTTGACAACGACCCCTATCGTCAGAGTCAGCAGCCTAACATGTTAGCCTATGGAATTTTACCCCCCAAATCGTTAAAAATTCATTTTTTGTTAAAACGAAAAGCACATCCACCCCGACATAAGTTATTACTAGCTCTTTCATTGGAACCCTCATGTCCTATTGACTTTTGAAAGTTCACCCACCGTAATTTGATCAAAATAGGTTGCAAGCTCGCCATTGCCTACATAACACATGTGAAACAAGTCGAACTTTGGACTCAGTTTACCAAGCGATTGCAAGGTTTTAGGTCAAGCACACGAAGGATAAGAAGCATGAATTATAATAGATCAGTTCTGATCGGTTCATTATGTCCATTTCATCTAAACCCCCACCGTAATTTGTCCATTGAAGATAAGCAAATATTTTGCCGAGGTAAGCAAAAACATGAATATTCATGATCGCCATGCCCTATTCGATTATTTACAGAGGGGTGCAATTGTGCACCAACCCGTGCACCACATCAAACTCCCCTACTTTAAGTCAAGTATTTCATTGTATTATGTAGTTTGGTAGGTTTATTTTAATAATTGTTTAATTGTCAAATATCTATGATAGTTTAAAGATATGGAAAATGTTCTTGTATTTTATATTTAGCAAAGCAATCTTACATACAAATTCACTAATCCGCCGATTGTCGTCTGCTATAAACGTCCAGCGAGGGAAAATGAGACAACCGGAGCAATATGTCTGCCTCGGCGACAATCATTGCGTCAAAAATATAGGATTATGGCTGTCATTAGGTTTAGAATAGGTTTACGGATAGGCTTAGGATTAGGTCTATGTTTATGTTTGGTCCAGTGTTGAAGTTAAGAATCGCAAGTGTAGGAAATCTACCGTGGAGCAATTGTAGCTGGAATATGTGTCGTGTAATATATACTAAAGGTCGCAAGCCTAATTATATTACTATGTTTTATGATGAGTTTCTCTCTCTCTCTCTAAACTCGTTTCGTTTTGACACGTTAAGAAATAAATTAATGATTCTGATGTTTAGGTACATGATAACCGTCTACTTACAACGAACGTTGAGTGTGATAGTGGCATTCGTCACGTGACTGACCCCACTCTTGAAACCAATATGTATGGCGCTGCACATCGCAACCTTCCTGTTGTCAGCTCTCACGGCATCAAGGCGAAGGGTGCTCACTACGGTGAAGCGCCCTCTAGTAGTCTCACTGGCCTCTTTGTTAGTCATGCCGGTCACATCTTGACCATCGATGTCCCAAATCACCTTCGGCTCCGGGAAAGCATCCGCCACTGTACATGTTATCCGACTCGATGTGCCTTCCATGAGGTCGTTTGCTCCTGCTATGGTTACCTCATTTGGAGGGCCTGCACGAATGACAGCAACGATTACAAATGCAACGGAATATATTCGAATAAATATCATATTTCAATTTTTCAAGTTTTTCAAGTTGCTATTGTTCCACATTTTACAGAAAATATAGACATACATATAAGATAAAAAATTATACAATACAATTGTAGTATAAACGAGCACATCTCAGTGATTCTTATTCATATAATAGATTAAGTAGAAAGTTTTCATGAAGCTTAAAACAATACCCTCATTCCTTCCATTATTATAATCAACATTAATCAATAGATGAAAACATTGTTCCATTGGACTGATGGAAACATAAGCATCAAATACCCTTGAAGAAGTATACAAAGTACTATGTTCACTTTCTAAGGTACAATTACAATGATTTGTAAATTCATTCATATCCTCCTCCAAAACATAATCACAAACAACCAAAACAATTAAACAAACAAACCAATCTCAACTTGAAATCAGACCAACACAAATATAATAATAAAAAATGAGAATGGCATATTACCAACGAAACAATCAATGCTTAAATCATTACCTTCCCATCACTGAATTAGTTTAAAATGATGAATTTAAATGTGGTAGTACGGACCATTTTCCTTTTTTCTAGGAGCAGTTAGAAATGAAATGATATATGTACCATGAACTTGCAGAGTAACAGATCTTGACACTTTGCGCACTGCTGAACCTATACGAATAGTAGCTTCACATGTCAAGAGTTGATTATGGTGAAGTTCACTTGAGATGTTTAGCTGGATTCGTGAAATGGTGTCCATCAGGCGTTCACCTCTGATCGTCACCATGGATACTGCGTCCACGGTTTCACCCAGTCCTGGAGGTTGTCCGATGGTCCATGCTAGAGTAGCAGCAGGCGAGGCTTCAAGCACGGAGCATTCAAAGTTCATGGTATCCCCATCGTCTACCTCGAGGTTACCTGTCAATGTATTATCTGAGTCGGCATCCTTCAGTGACATCTCACGCGGGAGGGCTAAGAACAGAGGAAGAAATTGGGCGTTTTTTTGTATTAATAAATAACAATAATTATACTCAGTTTTTATATAGCGCAATATTCCACTCACTAAGCGCTTCCAAACTTGGAGATTATTACCCCGGCTGTAGCTGTGCTGCCATTACGGCGCTCTAGCATTTCAAAGAATTAATTCCTGCCAGGTACCCATTTACATCACCTGGTTCAGTGTGGCAAATGTAGATCAATGTCTTGCCAAAAGACATTAGTGTCTCGAACCGCGGACCTTGTGATCGACAGTCCGGTGACTTAACCACTCGACCACGGCACCTCTACTTGAGATCCTCTTTAGGTAGTTGAACGTAAGATTAAATTTTACCAAAGTATTGTATGGTAAAATAGGTAATCTGTAATGAAGGGTTCATCTTCGACATTAGGTAATGACTGAAGTGACCACGTGGATTTACATATGCATCTACATTAGGAAGTACAGATCAAGTCCATAATGAAGTCAACTTGAAACAGCCGTATATTAATGAATACTTTATTTTATATTTGGTTTGAAAAGCAGGGCCCCGTCTTACAAATAGTTGAGACCAATCGCAACTTATTTGCGATTGATATCAAGCGCAACTATGTACATAAGAGACAGGAGACTGCAAACTTGCGATTGATTGGAGGACCTGCGATTGATTTGGATTAGTCGCAACTCTTTGTAAGACGGGGCCCTGATCACTTGAAACTGAACTAGATCAATAACATATTTCTACATGGCACGAAATTGCCATTTCAAAGAATCCATTGATGTTACAGAGATAGGTTGATGATAAATAAGAAGTATACGAATCATTTCCTGCGCTTGCTAAGAGCTTGGAAAACGAGAAACCGGCAAAGTTGTAGAGTTGACAATAATTGTCTCAATCACTTAATACCCATTTTTGTAAAGAGCAAATCATGTTCACAAACATTATTTCTTGTCATTACCACTTAACAACTTTACTACTTAAAGGGATCCGGTAACTTTGTCTCAGATTCTTAAACGAAATCCTGGATTTAGCTCATGCTGCAAAGATAATTACAAACCTTTACGTCAGTCAGGAACTCCATGACTTTTATAAGCCTATCGCCTGTCTGATTATCAAGATATTTATGATTGGCAATCGAAACCAAATTTTGCGTTTGCCAAACGGTTTTCATAACACTACAGTCTATTAGGGGAAACGAGTATGGTAAAAACCGGTCAATCAAAGGTTTTTACTTTTTTGAGGCATTTCTTGATCATTTTCAAACGCAATTTTTGTTTAGGGCTTCAATATTACTTCATATCACAAACACGCAGGGCCGCGTATCTCAGATTTAACATTGTTAAATGATGCCTTTAACAATGTTGGTGAAAGTATAAACTGCTTAGAAACTTACCCATTACTCGTAATATCACTCTAGTTGTAATTTGAGAAGAAAGTGCCTGATGTGAAGCAGAACACTGCAGCCTCTTCCTATCATGAGCTAGGTTGGGTGTAAATGTCGCGTTTCGCCATGTGATAACCGTGCGAGCATCCATTGCTGAAGCGTTATTAAACTAGATGAACAATATTTAGAAATGACAAATATATAAATATCCGGTGTATACATGGCTCTTTACAATAATGCTTCAAAGAACATGACCCCAAATGATCCCAGTTGTGGGGTCTGGCGGCATGCCTGAGGTATTAATAGCCAACATCAAATTAACAGTATTTTTAATTGTATTTTGAGAAGTCTGTATGTCTCTCAAAAACCGTTATGGCTATTCCGTGGTCTCCCATTACCTTATACTTTTTAGTAGCTTATGAACATTCTGTATATGTTGCTGCATAAATGGTCATAAAATAAACATGGAGTTTAAGATTCAAATGACCTTAAAATAAATATGACGATTTTTCATTCACTGCTTTAGAATCCTAAACTACACGTATTAAACACGATCGCAACTAGGCATTGTGGCGTGCGCCTGTAATCCAGCTAACAGTGGGAGGTACAAACTGATTCAGCCGAGGACGCAGGTTCGAAACTGAGTCACGTCTTTCGGAAGGTGACGTTAAAAGGCCGGTCCCCAGACGTAAATAATCATATCTGATTGATTGAAACACGTCTGTAAAAACCCAATACACACACACACACACACACACACTCAACTATTCAAAAATCAGCTCATGGGCAATATACCTATTGTATGTCTGAGAGAAATCATGTACGGTTTGCAAATTTCATAGGATGACACTCAAGGCTTGTCATATTGCCTTAGGTTGATTTTCAAAAACACTTGCTATCGTGTTTTGATATCATTACCACAACCAACGAAGTTGTCTGGGAGGAAATTTTATTATTCACTCGTGCATTCATTCATTCTTCTAATCAATTATCCCATAAATTAACGTTATATATTGCCGAAGTGAATGGCCGCATGGAAATAAATATGTCTCGAACGAGTGAAATACTATTTAGTTATTTACCTGATCAGATTGACGAAGCTGCAGGTCAAAGTTCATATCTACCTTAGACCACGTGATACTCGCACTCGGTTTACTTGACCCGGAAGTACAGGTCAACGTGTAAGGTTGTCCACTAATAACGACCACTTCTCTGTTGACAGGCGAGATACCGACGACGGTGATCCCAGATGGCGGAACTGAACAAATACATTTCAGAAAAGGCTCAACTGAGAATAGATTTAGAAATACTATTATAAACTTCAGGGACAGTCTTGCCGAAATCTATTAAGCCCCACCTTTTCAACAAATGTGGGGTAATTGTGTGTCCAATTAACTTGTGGGCAATCAAAATTTATATCAAACCAGGCAAACTTATTCATAAAAGACACATATTTGGCCGGACCATTAATAACGAAATGCATGTCGAACATTATTTTTCCAGGATTTTCTTATACTCAGTTTAGAGTGTGAATCTTGAAAATGAAATGCCCATATAACTTTCTTTCTTTTTTTAAATCTCGTTTTGGTTTAATTATTCCCACGTAGTTTTGATTTGTTGACTTAGAACAGTAAGGCCAAACTTGTAAGCCGCCACTCCCCTTTCTATGACGACGTAACAGCTAGAAGTCATCTCGTAAAAAAGGCCAAAGTTAAAGATCTGAATAATGGCGCTTCAAATATTGTCATCATCATCATATTTTATTCATTTCATGTCACCTAGGAAGATTCAACTCCCCTTTTTTACGCGATGATGTAACAGATATACGGCAATATCTAAACAAATTCCGGTTTTTATATAACAATCATCATCACCGTCATCATCTTTTGTTCATGTATTGATATTTAATAACCCGCATCTCACCTAGGACAACTAGGTTGAACTCGTCTGACCCGCCACTTCCCCCTTGTGTGATGACTAAACAGGTATACGACATCTCGTCATCGAAGTCAACGTTCAAGATCTCCAAGACGGCGTTCGATGCTCCAACAAACCACATTCGGTATTTTTGAGGTTGGATTATGTTCGTAATACTTGAGTTCGATTTACCACTGATGAAGTTGCCCCGGGTATCGGAGTCCCAGTATACTAGACCGGCTGGCGTGGAAGGAGGCGGTCGGTAGTCGCATCGTAAAATGGCACTCCTTCCAGCGATGGCTAGGCCTGTCTGATGTACCACTATACCAAGGCTATCCAGTCCAGTTACCACTGATATTATACCTTGAAAGCAGTCAAAAAACATATAACGTGATCGGCTATTTGTTATAACTTTAGTCGTGCTAACAGCTGGACGATGTTTGCAGTCTTTTTATTTTGGAGGGGAGGTATACAAATCCAATGTTACATTTTCCTAACTAGTATTATGTTTAGGATTATGGAGAGTCAGCAATGAAAATATTAACTGAATGAAAATAGAAACTTTGCTCACCATATATAATTATGACGACAGCACCCGTTGTATTAGGTAAGCCAATCCAAATAGATGGTGCCATTTTACTTTTCCTGGTAACAACATTGGCTAGAAAACAGACAGGATTCGTATTATTAGTAGTTTCATTGGTAACACTATTAGAGGGCGCAATAGCTCAGTCGGTAGAGCAGTGGTCTCGTAATCCGGTGAACCGGGTTCGAAACCAAGACGATGCGTTAGTGCCCTTAATTTGGTAAGGCATTAATTATTATTACCAGGCCCCTCAAAGAGGACCTTAAGCCGTCGGTCTTCTGGTTGCTTACAAGCATTTATGCTTTCATTTATGCTTATCAGGTAAAATAACCACCATCACCATTATTATTATCATTATTACTATTAGTAGTTGTAGTAGTAATATTATTATTATTAACATGATCGCAACTACATTCGAAAGATCAACTCAAGGCAATTATAGTCGTACCCAACTGTATACCCTATGGAATCATGTCCATTTGTTCACATGCTTCAAACTGTGATGGCTTTTTAAATTGCCTTAATTTGATTTGTTTTTTCGAAAGCAATTGCGATCGTGTTTGTTGCCGTTGTTGATGTTGTTATTAGTATAAGTTTTATTATTATTAGTAGTAGTAGTAGTTGTAGAATTAGTAAATGGGTAGTAGTATTAGTAGTGGGTAGTAGTAGTAGTATTAGTATTAGTAGTAGTAGCAGTAGTTGTAGTACTGTAGTAGTAGCAGCATAATTATCATCTTCATCATCAAATTTATTTTATTTTAATCATCAATACATATAAGATAGGGAATAATCGAAGGTAGGCCTACTCAATTTTCTATCTATGGGTAAATAAACAAAAATAACAGTTCTGAAAGAGGTATACCATCAGATTGATGTGTGTATGTTTGTTTTTATTCTCCGATTCGAAATTTAATAGACAACAACTCCAAAAGGTATGATGGAGAAGTTTGAATGAAATCGGACACAAAAATATGAAAGTTGTGACTTTATGAAAATTGTAATCATTACGTATGAGCACTTGATATTGGCTGAATCGGTAATGTCACTGTGACGTAGTGCCGGGTAATTTGTCCATTGTTTCAACATATAAAATGAAACTTATTTCATTGCTGTACACGAAAAGACTGGAGAGTTGTCAACGACTACGTCACAATCCACAGATCATTTTGCCAATTTGAGACTCCTTTTGATTAAGGATCTCATATCTCAAAACTCCCTTGTTATTGGTCCGATTTTTTTCAAACTTTCGCCATTTTATTTGTATTATCTTTCTGCTTCGATTCCTACAAAAGAAGTTATAAAAAGGGTTGGATTCCTCTTTATAGTGAAAGACTTTCTTCAAATGGAATTTCCTCTTCAATTTCCAATTTCAAATAACGGAGTATATTCTAATCATCTTTGTGAAACTGAACCCTTCCAAAGAGGGTCGCACCCTTCTATAGTTTGCATTTTGTGAAATTATTGTTTATTATTACCTAATAGGACTAGATTTACGTAGAAATGAATGAAATTGGGTATATTTAATGTAAAAGGGATAAATATTTACTTCATGGAAAGTTTTTATTTTTGTACTATTGTTGACAAACATTACTTTCTCTTATGGAAAACAATTATGATCTACAATTCGTGATTGAGACGAATAGAAGAAATTTGTCTAAAATCATGATCTGTACTATGATTTAAACTCACCTGTTTGACCAATCTGTTTATCACCGAAGGTATGATGATCCCTGCTCAAAACATGACTACTGTTGATCAAGGGAAGCTACGCATATAATCTTCGCAAAATAAATAACCCTGACAGGCGATAAGTTATCGTTTACATGGGCGTCAGAGCGAAATTGTGAGGGAGGGGCGGGGTTGTAACGATTCACGACTGTAAAGTTATCTGAATAGCTCTCTTTTTGTCAGATTGAGAGATGCGAGCAAAGCTGCCCGAATATGAGTGTATGTTGCCCCAAAATGAGATAAAGGTTCCCCCAATCGGTAATTTATGTCAACGGGTTCGGTGGGAGGAGGGGGGGGGGGGGGAGATTGCCCCAAGTCTCGTACTCCAATGGTCGTATAGTACAAGTCTTTACTTCCGACATATTCATAATTCATAATTGATGTTTATGATTTATAACAGATCGATTGTTTTCCAAAAATAATCGAATCGATACAGAAAGAATTGGTACTTAAGCGAGTGGATTTTCCCTCTATCGAAAGTGAGACAAACAACGCCTGATAGAAAGGTCAGATTCGAGAGCTTTGGTACGTGTCTATGACACTAGTCCGCGTAGAAAATATAATTTTGTGTTGGTTCCCATCCACTTCCTTTTGAATACTGATTTGTTTGTTAGATTATCGTTTGTTTGATAAATATTTTTAAAAATAGGGAAAATGCGGAGGGAAAGACAAATTTCTTTGAAATTTTCTGGGTCACATAATTGGGTTATCGTAATTTATTGGGTATAGGCTCAATTAAAAATCCATGTTTGCTTTTGATTTTATGATAAGGATAACATGTCAATTTATGTAGCGCACCTACCATATGAATATACTCTTCTGCGTCTAATACAGAGATGTTAGTACCTACAGAATTATGAGACCGAGTCAGGCAATACCATCAACAGTGGCGTCGCGTTTAGCGTTTAGCGTTTATCATTTAGCGGTTTACTACATCAGCGTTTTTCAACCTTTTATTGTCACGGCACCCTTTTAAAATTCAACGAGTTTGGAATCATCCCAATCCAAAATTCATAGAAGAGGATTTATTATCTATCCCTCATATTCAAAGAGTGACGTATAGGCCTCTTTCCCGAAAATATACTATCCGGATCTGAAATATTGCGAGCGAGCAAAAAATTATCTATACGTTATGTTTGTTATGTTTGTATGTTTAATGTTTTTTTTATGGAGAAGGTAATAAATGAATATAAATTAATATCTTTTTTTTTTTCGTATGTCTTCCATCTTTCACTCCTTCACCACTTCTTTTGTCTCCTTTTTCTTATCTGGTGTATGCTACACGAAGGACACTGATCGGAAATCCCACAGCAATTGTCGATAATCGTTTAACGCACATTTTACAACAGATTTTTTTTCAAAACTTATCATGTTGACCCAATGTTATTGATTCACATAATGTTATAATCTTTGAAATGCGTTTTAGACCAATCTATCTCCATATAATTGCTGACGTTCTTTTTCCTTTTTGTTCATCTCTACCCTCACTCTCGCCTCCCCCCCCCGTTTTTGCTAATTGATTAGGGGAAGGATGAGCCCCCCCCCCCACCCCTCCCCCCCCCCCCCCCCGTAGCTACGCAACTGGCGATCATAATTTACGTACTAAGGGGCGGATCTAGCCGGCGGCAAGGGAGGGGGCCCAATTCGTGAGAAAATATTCAGCGGCGAAACAGCCAGATGGTGTTTGTTATGTTATGCCCCCTAAATGTTGAAAATTGTACCCCTGGATCCGCCACTGCTTGTACCTAATCTCAAAAATGATTTCAAACTTTCTTTCGCAGTACATAAATCAAAGTCTCTACTCCATGATATTGTGACTCTCAAATTAGTGTTAACCTTTTTCTTACGCTACACATAAATCTATCAGTTTTGTTCACTGTGTTTTTACATACATTTATTTATTTTCAATACTAATATGTCTCTTGTGCCCTGTCTTGACATGTATCTTGTTAAACACTTAAAAAACCACCCAGCTTCATACTTTATTGATGATTATGAATGACTACTCAGCCAACTTATAACAAGACGTACTTCAGTTTTAAGAGGGTCTTATTTGTGTAATTACCAATAATGTAACGAAACGATTGCAATCTTTATGATATTGTTCCCAGATGTAATATCCTCCATGTTGTTATATTGTTTTTTTTTTTGTAAACATTCAAGCATGTGATATAAATAAAAATCAATTCGAATTCGAGTATTTGCAATCGTGACTACAAAGTTAACATACATATACTTGAGTTTGCGCTAAAAGTAGTTGCGTTATCAATACTGTAATATGTAGGGTAGGCTTTTATTCATTGTTTTACTCATTCATTGATTATTTTTTTTACACTTTTATTGAAACAGGGTTGCCTCTTTAGTTAACATAATGCTTTCCCTGATATCACTTTTCCTTCAGAATACCCAAATTTGAGCGACAGAAAAATTGAAATGATCTATTTATATTAAAAAAATAATTTAAACGAGGCTACAATAGCCCAGTGTTAAAAGTTCATGAAAACTTCACTTGTTCCCACTTCCGTAAATGTAAGGCTAATTTACCTGCCCTCCCTGCAATATTGTTTTATTCTTCCCTAAATGCCAAATTGTTTTTGAAAGTCACCCAAAGATAATATTACGGACTTTCCCCTGCATCTATAAATCCAATATTTCAATTCATTGCAAACATAATTGCATTAAATAGCTTTATTGGTGGGGAATTACCGGACAACCCTAAATGAATATCTACCCAGTCAACAGACCTTAATTCCCTTAGCTCAAACTTAGCCATTACATTCTGCCATAATCTTTGAACATGTACACACTCCCAGAACATATGTTTCAATCTTTTGCAATGAACACAAGTTATCTTCAACAAAACCGAATCTGAATAAGTGTTCTCTAGTATGTATTGCTCCATGAAGAAGTTTATACTGAATTTCTATTAGTCTGTTAACAAGAGAAACTTCCCTAGGCCTACTAAATATCTCCCTACATACCTCATTTGAAAAATCTGAAAATCACCGTCACTCATGCATCTTCAAAACAAATAAATTGTGTAACTTAACTATGAAATATTCATAAACCTTCTCGATAATAAATCTCTGAGGAGCTTCACTGCACTGTTAAACTGCATTAAAATATCATATTCTTTTACATCCACTAAACTCCAGCTATCCTTTTTTCCGCTTCTCAAAATAGCTTCCCAAATATTCCCACATACCCACCGCTCGCCCAAACAAACGCACACACACGCACAACCAAGCACACGTACGCACACACACCCTCGTACACCCAAGCGTGCACGCACACACACACACACACACACACACACACACACCCAAGCATTGAATTCTCTTGGCCGACGTCAACAAAGAATGGTAAAAAGGTAAATGAATACGAAGAAACTGGTTGTTTTATTCAAATCAATGAACCATGATCACAGGACTAATCTCACATGAACAAAGTATACATTACTATCGACTGACTAAATAAGAAAAAAACATGAGCGATTTCCAGCGTAGGATTTGTTTTTGGGGTTCATTAGATGTCATGTCTAAAGAGCTGATAACTTTTACATGTTTGGGCCACAGATAAATTTTTAAAAAGTCAGTCTATGAGTGGATGGCCTTAAATCTGCAATACACCCTTTTTCTCATTTTCCAATATTCAACATCTTCATCTTTTCAACATTTAAACAAAATATCAGATTAAAAATTATCATTGGCATAGTTACAAGAGTAATTTGGAATAATATTATTATTTATCACGTGTAAACATAAAGGGGCACCTTTCCTCGGTATTGGATGTTTGACGCTCAAGTTGTCACAAATAACGGACTCTATCCTTACCCATGTTTAATGAATCAAATTAAAATCCCGTTTGTCCTTTCAAATTTGCTGGCATGTTCAATAAATCAAATTAGAACCCCATTTTTCTTATAAAGTTTGTAGGCACAACATTTGGGGTATTCTTCAAGGGGCTGATTTTCTAAATTGCCTATGCAATGAAAGGGGACACACTAATCATACACTTTTTGATTTAGAAAACAACTCTCATAATTATCAAAACTTCATCAAATAAATTGTGACAATTTGACAGAAAATAAAGCGAACAACATTCAACAGTTTTGTAACATTTACTACAAGATTACTTTATTACAATCCTCCTGGATACGTTCAAACATTCAAGGACATTTATTGAATTTATCATCATAACAATTATGGTATAGATTTGCTCTTCCTACACCAGTTAGACCAGTTGTTCCGATAGTTCTTACATTTCTTATAGCTTTTCTTGATCTGCATTTTATTTCCATGTAAAAATCCAAGGGTCTGAGATTTAAAGGTATGACAATGATCGAATTGATAGATTTCCAAAACATTATGAAAAGCTGTGCTGAATAACAATCATATCATTGTCTTTTTCACTTATGTTAAGAAGATAATTTTGTTTAAATTTATTTTTTCTGCCAATGTATTTCCATCCACACTTATGGCTTAAGGTAAATTTTCATGGGGGGTTTTCCCTTTAACAAATTTAAATTCCAAGGCCCGAGGAGGGACACTTTAGGAGAACAAGAATCTTATTAGCATCTTATAATTCCTAAGAGCATGATATATCAAAATTCTAATAATTAATTTCACAAACTGAGCGACGATGCAGACTTAACAAGTTGCATTCTGTGGCCTTATACAATCCAGAGATTTAAATCATTATTTTTTCTGCTCTCCAGAGGTGAATACATTAAGTAGGGTTCAAGTAATTCAAAAATAGGAAATTACATACAGGATTATGTTTTTTGTTTCTTTCCAAATTTGAGAGAATAGAATTAAATACAACCATTTGTTAATGTACATACAGTTACAAAGACAAGTATTTTGAAAACTATAGTTCATACACATAATGCACTACTAGCCCTACTGTGTGGACACACCTCTTCTCTATATTAAAAGAAAATAATTGCACAAAACTGCATCGAATCATCTCTGCTTAACAAGTACTAGTTATCAATTATTCACAGAGAATAGGTGAATATTTCTCTCCTTCATATATATATTACTGTCATACTATGAGAAATCTCAAGAAAATAACTTACGAACATCAACAAGGCACTGGTGTCCTTACAATAGGATGTAAAAAACCTTCAGCGTCCTTTGTACAAGCTCATGTCATCGTCAAAAGAAACACAATACCGTTTCATATTATTTTGATATGGCAAAGCAAAGCTAACAAGTGATCCATGTAAGCTCCTATTTCCTACTAGTCTATAATTGGTATTTAATATTAATTTCTTTAACCCTGTGTTTGCAAGTCAGAAATTTTTCTGTCATTAGAATAACAGTTGATGTCTTCTTCAAGGGAAAGGAACAGGAGGGTGAGCCATGTCAGACATTTGGCTTCCTATTAAATTTCTCGGCATTTTAAACTTTATTTTTTACCAAGCAAAGGTGACATCCCTAAAGTACAAGTATGCATAACCCACCTTGCAGCTAGAAGCTTTAATACCTTCAGCATCCCATTTAATCTCAAGCAGGGGGAAATTTCTGATTTTGATATCACACAAAGTTCCCAAAAGACCAGTACTCAAATTTAGCATTCATAATCACAACAGATTTCTGGCAAGCAAACCCAAGGTTCGTATAATTTTTCGCTTTTGACTTTTAGCACCGGTGTATTATGTACACTGTGGTTATTCTGTTGTCTACACAGAATAAAACTAAAGTTTATCAACCTTTTACTGCAGTAAATAGAGATTGGGTGTCCAAACAAATACACTGATTTCACTAACAATGCAAAGTAGATCCATGGTATGAAGTCACCCCCACATTCAAATGTGTAGGACTACTTCAAATGGCTGATTTCACAAATATATTGGCAGTTTTATTTATTCTAAGAACATTTTTTCTCTGCAAGCCAGACTTTTCAATGGTCTGCATATTTCTTTGTTAATAAATATCTTTCTGTCTCTGACTAACCAGAACTAGGATACACTTTTCTCCATGTATGAAGTTATATATATGTCGGTCCAAGTAAGTAGTCCCTTAAATTGTAAACATACATCATCAAAATCTCTCTTGTTATAAGTTACACATCAAATAAATAAACCACATAAATTATGAATAAATTTCATTGGTGCACCTTCTAAAAATCTAGTGTGCAGTTTGAAAGTATAAACAGCTAAGGCATGGTGAAAAAATACTTATGTACAAGTTAACAATCACTTTTTAAACAAGGAAAACATTATTTAACATCGACAAACATCTACATGTACTATGACTAATGTTTTTGTTTGTTTTCTTAACTCTCCATTCCAAAGGTTAAATTATCCTCTAAATCTTCAGTGTATACATCTATCCCAACACAAGCGGATGAAGCACTGCTAAAAGAAAGTAGGTACACACATCTTATGCACTCTCTTGAATTGGAAGGAAAAAAATGGGGTGGTACTCTGATAACAGGTGTATTCAATCTAATTTTCATAACAAATCTGAATCTACGCCAAATCATTTGTTAATCACCGACAGATTTAGGGGGACTCGACCTTCACACACCAGGTACCATTTGTTTTGGATTTACTTCCTTTCAAAGTCTTGACCGCAAATACTAACAATTATACTCAATTGTTACACTGTCTACAAAATGACTCTAAATGCTTTCACTAACCTTTAGTCATTCTTCAATGACTAATTAGTCCAATTTGGTCAAATATTTCAAATATTTCAAAATCAACGATACCAATTCTACAATAATATGTTAAGCTCAGACCATTTAAAATGGTCAATAATTATTGAATAAGAACATAGAGTGCTTACACACATAAACAAACACACACACATAAACAAACACACACACACATACAAATACACAAAAGGAAATAAATAGGTGAGAAAAGACAATTTGTACAAACTTCAAATATGTCAAAAGCTACAGACAATTCTCGGCAAAATACTAAATATTTATAAGCAAATCAGAATTGGAGCCAGAAGCTTGTTATTAACCCATATGCATTAAAAACAAAGATATTGCCCTTCTGGCTCTGAACAGATGTACAATGTTATTCTTTTCTTTTATAGTACTTTAATTACATGTACTTTGATTCTTCATTTTAATCACTAGGAATAAAGAACAAAGTAGTACACCAAACTAACAACAAAACTAAACATTTTTTTTTGGTAAAGGGTGAAATTAATTGCATGGCAAGAAAAAAAATACAAATATACACAACCTGCTTCTATTGTTTATCTTATTTGGCACTGCAACGTAAATGAGTTTGATAAATATATAAAAATGGGTCTCAACGCATAGTACAGGATTTAAAAAAATTAATTAACAAGCCTACTATGAGAGAGGTAAGTTTAGTATATGCTGTACACTGCAGAAGTATACATGTATGTTGTTTTGTTGTTTTTGTGTACTTTTACGAGAACACAAGCCTTCTTGCAAAATTTTCCCTTTTAATGTATGAAATAATCTGCTCTCTGACCTTTGTAGTGCAGGCATTGTCAAAGTAAAGCCCTGAAATACAACATGTTAAACTCTTCACTGAGTTCTATATAGTTAATCTGACAAATTGAATCATTTGTGTTACGAAATCTGAGAACAAATGAAAACTTGAGATAATGAAAGTGAAACCCTTCTTGATTGGCAATACTTGATCAACTGCATTTTGCTCAAAGCAGCTAATCATAATATTTTTTGTAATCAATAACTTTCCTTTATTGTTTACTTAGTTTCAATATGTCAGATTACAAAAATATTGTACAGTGTACATCCATTTTCTGGAGTATCTATCACTTCAGTTAACCATTATATTGCTAAGCCAAAGCACATCTACATGTACATAGAGTTACAATAAACATACATAGCAAAACAAGTGACCTAGATCAACAGCAGGACCCATAATGCATCTGTTCATAAGGTTTCACTTCCTGTTCATGCACGACAACCCCTAAGATACCAGATAAAACACCAGCTTGATCTCAAGTCCACACTTGCCACTGTTAGCTTCAGAGTTTTCTTTCTAGATGGTACAAATATACAGTCAGACCTGCTTTAGTGACCACCTGTCTACAAAGATCACATTTTTAGTTTCTCTTGAAAACGGTTTCTCAATGAAACATGTACTAAAGGAACCTGTACATAAAGACCACCTGCCTATAAAGACCACTTTTCTTGTCTCCCTTGGGTGGTCTTTATAGACAGGTTTCATTGTACAAATATGCTCTTCTTATCATCTGTTTGGAGCCCGAAGGGTATCAAGTCATATACATGTACTTTCAATGATCATACTGCCAGATTCTAAATGCATACTTGTTGATGATCATACTTCTTTACATAGAGGTAGAGCCACAATGTTGGGATATGGAGTTGGTGAACACATGTACTTCAACCATCTTTATTAGGCTTAACATCACCTTATTTCTCTTTCAAATGTGTCCAATAAGAGCATTTAATTGATCCATATCGATTACTACTACCCTTGTGCGCTCCATGCCTTCCCTGCTACTATATTTTTTCTATTAAAAGTAATTAACATGATAAAAGTTGATACTCTTCAAGCTCTCAGAAGGTGATATATTCCTTGAAGCACCAAGATATGCCAAGCAGTTTCAATTCTATTGCAAAATAATTAGCATAAACATCTAATATGGCATAACATTCAACATTTGTCAAGCATAGGAGCAAATAATGAAATAATAATGACATTGGATGCTTGAACGGCCCTCATATCTACCCCAAAATGGTGCCCAAGTTCCTTTCAAGGCATTTGAGGTCTTCATACCAGAGAGGTAGAAACCATCTACTGCACCTGGATGGAGAGTGGCAAATGAGGATTATTGTCTTGTCAAAGGACATTAGTGACGTGCTGGGGATTGATCCTGCGATCTGCACATTTCCTTCCACTCATCCATGATATTTCTACAAAAATTGAAGAAATATCTTGCTTCAAATACCCCCCAAGAATTGAACTTAAACAAGTTTATTTAATCTGAATCTCCCTAAGATGTATTACTGATGGGGTTAGAAGCTTCGTCTCTTCCAGGGTAATTCTTGTTTACCTTACATTTAGCACGTTATTGGTCAATTTTAACTTTTCAAAATGCCACGAAACACAACACTATTAGCCAAACAAAAATGAACTAAATTGAATGAACAAAATTCATCATCTAACTTTTAAAAAGTCCTCTATTGGTCAAAATGAGGTTGTCAAAATGAGGTTGTCAATATTCCATGATATGCAGATATTTGGCAATATGAATAAATAAAGGTAATTTTGTTTCTACAAACATAAGCACTACTCCGATATGAGCTGAAACATCAAAATTACTGCTCTTGACTTCCTATATACACACAATTCCTTGGTCTCTACTACGGCAGTCCGATCCATTCAGTTTGGTGTTAGTCTTGCTTGATACTCCCATCTCTCTCCTATAACATTCTAGTCTAAGACATGGTGCTGATCACATACTCTTAATGGTGCACAAGACTCCTCTAATCCAAGTAACCCCGCGAAGCATTTGTTCAGGTCATCACTTCTTTGTTTGACTACGAACAGACAGGGGAAAAAAAACATGATGATAAACTTTTTTTAAAGGAAAATAATGTGTGCTTACCAGAGATGAAAGAGGAATACAACTTTTGTTTAAATGAGTGTGTGTTTGTGTGTGTTGAGATACGTGTTAAAATCTGTGTTACCTAATAATCATGTTGAATACTGAATTATCGTATTCCTTTAGGCTTTATCTTCTTTTTTTTTAATGCATAGGGCCTAAAAAGAAAGATGGCATGGGTCGGTTGGTCGGAAATACTATTTTTTACTCCCTCTTTGGGCTGATATTTCTTTTCTTTTTTTGTTAAAGCCGACCGTAGATTTCAGGATTTTGGGTCGGTCGCAAAGGGTAATACAACATCTTTTTTTTTTAGGCCTAGTTTATATCCAGTATGACTAACCTTACTCTGTAGATGAGTATGTCTGTCTGTCTGTCTGTCTGTCTGTGTGTCACACGGTGGACATGGGCTGTTGTCTGTCGGCTCTGCTGCTAGAACCTGAGACATTACTCTCTGTATCGTCCACAGAGGGTCTACGAAGTTCAAACTCTCCATAGATTCCTATGTCCCCTGTAAACAGAATGGAAAGACAACAGTTTTCTATTAATAATAATAACTTTTACTTATATAACGCTTTTCATAAGATATTTATATTAAAGCGCTTTACAATATTGATACAAGTAAAACTAAACAGAGTAATGACAAGAGAACAAAATTAAAGTGAAATTAGTAAACATAAGATAACAAGGTAAGGTAACAATTTAAATAACTAATTGAGATGCAGTGGCAGACAGTGATGCATCCAGGAAAACAAAAGAACATTACTGTGCAAGTATCATAACTTTCTTGGATCGTGACAGAATTATATCATTAGGCGTGTATCTTGCAAAATGCTTTGACGGATTGATTAGGCTAAATGATATCAAAAATTGTCATCCATTACAACAATATTTCACCAATATCACAAACAAGTGTGTCTTTGCTAAATATATTACTCATTGCGGATGTAGTATCAAAAAAATAATATCGCTAGTGATATTTGTTTGTCTCGCAATGTATGGTCAACAAGGGATCTAAAAGATCACAACGTTTCCTGCGCCGCTGCAACGCTTTGTCAGGTGATAAAATATAATGTAAACAATATATATTTTCGAAGGGTGTCTTTGTTGTGTTCCAGAAGCATCTTTCGTGCAATGACAGTTTGCTTAGAAATTTAACATTAGAAGGTACTCCTGAGGTGTCATAATTCTAAAAGAACTCTAAAAATATACAAAAAAGCTATTACTTTTTAATAAACCACAGATAAATGATATGATCCAGATAAAAATCCCATAGCTAAGCAGTGAAAAGGAGTGATAAAGATATCAGATCTCTAAAGACTTTTTTCATGATGTGTTATATTTTGAATGAAGAATTTTTTAGAAATATGTATAAACCTACAACTGCAATTATTGTAACAAAGAAAATAATTTAAAGTGAGATTAACATTCATAAATATCAAAATATCCCCAAAACAGAAAGAATAAAAAAAAAACATGAGAAAATCTCAGTAATAAGACTGAAGAAGTTGTTAATTTGTTATCAAGTTTTCCAATATCAAAGAAATATAAAATTTTACATTGCAAGGGTTTGAATGTTAGAAGCATAACAGGGATTTGCATGGTGAAAATCTCAAAACTTGTACGAGGGCAAAATTGTTGTTTTAAATAAATATCACATTTCAAAAACTTTCCCCAAAACATGGTGGCAACATTTTCATTATTAACAATGTTACAGGAATTTTTCTATTCATATATGAATTTTGCAAATAGCATTGTTTATTCACCCCATTTGTTGTGTAATAATAATAATAGTAATAGCGCTGTCTATCTAGATAATTCTATTCCGAGGCGCATTTATTATTACCCCAGCTTTAGCCTAGCAGCTGATTATACTGTGCTCCAGCATTTCAAGGGATTAATTCCTGCCAGGTATCCATTTTCATCACCTGGGTTGAGTGTGGCAAATGTAGATCAATGTCTTGCCAAAGGACATTAGTGACGCGGCGGGACTCAAACCGCGGACCGTGTGATCGACAGTCCGGCGACGTATCCACTCGACCACGACACCTCTACACAATGAGGGTTTCAATTTTCACTCATCGACAGTAAACCACAGAGTCTTTTGATTTGATATTTTGCACATACTTTCATAAATATGTGTTGCTGCTCTAGATACATTTTGAGGGCTTGCAAATACCTGATAGGGGAATTCATTCATTTGATTTGATTTTCTTTAAATCTAAGCTTCTGATACTTTAAAAATAAAATAGAACTGCTTTGAACAGACTAATGATGACAAAGTTGAACAAAGTTGAAGATAAAAAAGCAAAGCCCACAAAAATCCTTAAATTGCAAAGTATAAAAAGCAGGCACTATTTGTTTACAAAGATTTCAGAAAAAACATAAATGCTCTTTTTATTTGATTTCTAGACAGACAACCAGATTTTACACTTTTCAAACCTGCGATGACACTTTGATTTTTGAAATATGATGAGCAAAGAAGCAGAAAAGAGGATATAAATGTACACAAACTAGGAAACAGTATTTTCATTTGAACTTGTGAAGGATTGTAGAGATGTAAACAAAAAATACATGTATACATAAGTAGCCCACCTACACCTTCCTAGACCTGTATACATATTTCTCTGATATCAGTAACTGAATAACACAATATGGCAAAATACATTTGTATGTGCATTCATACTTTACAACTGTTCACTTTTTGTTCTTTCACAGAACTGGTTAAAGTATTAGGGGTTAAATCAGTGTATCATTCAAAGTAAGTTGATTGCCTCTTCTATCTTAAATCTCCCATTAAATCTAAAGAAGATTTCTGACCTACATGTATATGTATAAATATAAACGAAGATATTTTTATACTTTTTAACTATTGTCACACTGTTGCCGAGAATAATAGGAAACAATACAAAATATCAATGATTTTAAGAGGAAATAGCCACATAACTGTAATGCCAAATCATCACCTTTATATACCTTCCTGCCAATCATTTTGCCATATAACCATATAATTTGCAGATAGAAAGAAAGAAATTGCAAGCAGAAAGTGAGAGCAATTAAAGAGCTTTTAATCACTGAATATAATACTGCTCAACACACTCAATTCTCCCATAAAACACTAAACAATGACAACACACTCCATAGGTCATGTACAGTAGAAACTCTTTATAACGAGGTCCTTGGGACCAAGGAAATAACCTTGTTATATCAGGTAAAAAAAACAAAATATATAAAGAGCTGGGACCAGCAAAATCACCTTGTTATAACAGATACCTTGTTACAGTCAAACCTGCTTTAGTGACCACCTGTCTAAAAATACCACATTTTTGTTTCCCTTAAAAAATGGTTTCTCATTGAAACATGTACTAAAGGAACCTGTCTACAAAGACCACTTTTTGAGTTTCCCTTGGGCGGTCGCTATAGCCAGGTTTGACTGTACATCAGAGGTTTTCTTTATACAGAGGTTCTAATGTACGATGTAAATATGAAATCATGCATACAACACAAGGAAAGCAATGCATTCTGACTACATCTATAACACATCTGCATTAACTTTCAATAAACCAACACAAGGACAATTCCAATACCAGACTACACTGCCTTTAAGGTACTAAACATAACATAGAGGGCAGTATGACAACAAAGGTCACTTTCACTCTCAATCTGTGCTTAAGACCAAAGAAAGCAAGGATTATTCTAAGACTAAAACTATAATAACCACCACCATATAAATCGCAACGTTAGTATGGTACATCGCAAATGAGGCCATTTCTACATAACACAATAATCCCCTTTTAACTCCCTGAAACTTTTTCCTTGTACACCTACCAAGTATATATATACTGTAATCTTCACTAATCATTCTACTTGCAGATTGCAAATTGGCACCCATCTGTGCCAAAATTGATCAGAAATTTCAGTTCAACTTGCAACTTAACCTTGCTTTCAAAGAGAGACTTGTTAACATGTTTACCTGAATGTGTTCTTCCATCGTTGATACAGTCTTCATGCAGGAAACAGTCAGGAGGGTTTGAGAAGGGATGGAACACCACACAAAAAACATGAGTTGCAAGAACAAGGCTAGTAGGGCGTAATCTAGACAGTCATAGAACAGAGACAGAGCTAGGGCTGGATGAGAGACTACTGCTGGAGAGGTGAACGCACTTTCCACAGGTGTGGACAGACAGCTGAAGCAGACCTCTGAGAGGTTTTAGGGAGGGGTTAGAGTGTGTGGGTGAATGAGTGGGTGTGGGAAGCTTTTGAGGTGGGTGGGGGTCAATGAGTGGGTGTGGGGTGGATAGGGTAAGTGAGTAGGTTCTAGGTATATGAGAGGTTTTAGGAAGGGGTTGGAGGGGTGGGTTCATGGTTAGAGGGTGTGGGTGGATGAATGGGTGTGGGAAGCTTTTGAAGTGGGTGGGGATTAATAAGTGGGTGTGGGGGGTGGATAGGGCAGGTGAGTAGGTTCTAGGTATATGAGAGGTTTTAGGGAGGGGTTAGAGGGGTGGGTTGGTGGTTAGATGGTGTTGATGAATGGGTGGGTGTGGGAAGTTTTTGAGGTGGGTGGGGGGCAATGCGTGGGTGTGGGGTGGATAGGGTAAGTGAGTAGGTTCTAGGTTTTAGAGTGGTTTTAGGGAGGTGTTAGAGGGGTGGGTTGGTGGTTAGATGGTGTTGATGAATGGGTGGGTGTGGGAAGTTTTTGAGGTGGGTGGGGGTCAATGAGTGGGTGTGGGGTGGATAGGGTAAGTGAGTAGGTTCTAGGTATATGAGAGGTTTTAGGAAGGGGTTGGAGGGGTGGGTTGGTGGTTAGAGAGAGTGGGGTGGATGAATTGGTGTGGGAAGCTTTTGAGGTGGGTGGGGGTCAATGGGTGGGTGTGGGGGATGTATAGGGTAGGTGAGTAGGTTCTAGGTACATGAGAGGTTTTAGGGAGGGGTTAGAGGGGTGGGTTGATGGTTAGAGGGTGTGGGTGGATGAATGGGTGTGGGAAGCTTTTGAGGTGGATGGGGGTTAATAAGTGGGTGTGGGGTGGATAGGGTAAGTGAGTAGGTTCTAGGTATATGAGAGGTTTTGGGGAGGGGTTAGAGGGGTGGGTTAGTGGTTAAGAGTGTTTGGGTGGATGAATGGGTGGGCGTGGGAAGTTTTTGAGGTGGGTGAGGGTCAATGAGTGGGTGTGGGGGATGGATAGGGTAGGTAATTAGGTCCTGGGTATATGAGAGGTTTAAGGGAGGGGTTAGAGGGATGGGTTGATAGTTAGAGGGTGTGGGTAGATGAGTGGGTGTGGGAAGTTTTTGAGGTGGGTGGGGTTCAATGAGTGGGTGTGGGGGATGGATAGGGTAGGTAATTATGTCCTGGGTATATGAGAGGTTTAAGGGAGGGGTTAGAGGGATGGGTTGATAGTTAGAGGGTGTGGGTAGATGAGTGGGTGTGGGAAGCTTTTGAGGTGGGTGGGGTTCAATGAGTGGGTGTGGTGGATGGATAGGGCAGGTGAGTAGGTATATTGTCGGGATAGGTGAGAGGGTGCAAGGAGGTGAGGGGTTATAGGTGGAGCAGGGAGGCATGGGTAGAGGAAGGGGTGTACCAATATGGTGGTAAGTGGGGTGGGTATATACACTGTATGGGTGTGAGTGGGTGAGGCATGGGTAGGGGGAAAGATAGGCATGGGTAGGGGAAGGGGTGTATGGTGATAGGCTGGGCAATGGGAGATATAGCATGGCTAGGGTTTAGAGAGAACATTAGCTACACATGTAACCCCGGGCTATTAGAATGTTGAAAGGTTGAAAGAATGTTAGAAGCCAGAGCTTCGGGTAGTTCTTCGAATGAATCTAAAGGAGAGTATGGGAAGGGTGAACAATGGTATCATTTGAGAGGGGGGAGAGGGGAGGGGCCAGGAATGGGGTTAGGTTGGTGAATAAGATTTAGGTTGATAATGTGATGACTTTTGAAGTAGAATAGAAGGGAAAACAAGATGAAAGGGGGGATTCAGTTAATCAACAGCGTTACGGTTAGTCTAGTTATTGACCTAGAGAATTAATTTCACCATATGAATGGTAAGTTTTGATAGATTTATAACAGGCAAGAGCTAGGGAATAGTCAACTCAAACAGCGACCCCTGACTCCAAACCGACTGACAAATTTGTCATCCTGGTTAAATTTCTCTTTATTTTGACCGTTGCCAATTTGGTGTAGGTCTTATTGGTGTAACTGGGGTAGAAAGTAATGAATCTATGAAGGTTTTTAATTGAGTGAAAGGATTTTGAAACATAGCAACAAAAACTGAGAAATGTTAATGATGGTACAATAATAGTTGACCAACTTTGATATTAAATTAGAGATACAGAGTGATAAGAAAACTGAAGGAAGAGGACATATACATGTGGTTAGATATGTATGGTCCTCTAAAGTGTAATGCTCTGCCTGCCGTGTGTGTTGGTGTGTCCGTGTGCATGTGAATGAATGAGGGTGGGTGTATGTTAGTTTTGATTAGTTTAACAATATTTGTTATTATAATTTGGTTGTTAAGTTATTTTTGTACAGAGCCCCATTCCCACAAGCTTTGCTTATCTTGGAGTCCTTCCGATTTTGCTGTTCAATTATTGTGTATTGTTTAATTTGAAATTTAATGGAAAATAAATGAATTTAATTGAATTGGAAGTTATGGGTTATGTATTTGAGTTTTAGATGTTATTTAAAAGTCCCATTCAGTGATGAATACATCTAGAGAGATGCTTCTTAAATTGGGGTGGGGTGGTTGTTTGTGTGTTTTTATATATTTGTTGTGAGTGGTAAATAGCCCAACAATTCTAGATGACATGTGAGTTATATGGATGTACAAAAAAATAGATTAATAATTTTTGTTGCAGATGAGTCAGTTGTAGGTAGGCTAGTTGTAGGCATGTTTCTATGACAAAACAAGTCTTAAAAACTACATGTTATCATTATCCCCAACTTATGAAAGTTTTCTGTATCAAGTCTAAGTAAAGAACATCCATAAAATATAAATTAATCTATGAAAATATTAGTGCTAAACCTAAATGTACATGTCAACATGAATTTACACGTTTCATACATTTATAAGCAAATGCAATATACACAACAAAGAAATTATTAGCTTTAAATGGAAACATTCTGATGCCTTTTATTATTTTCATAGCTCTTAAGAACCAAAATTCATTTTTTGAGGCTTGTACATTAATAGTATTCATCATGTGGATTTACTTCCCCCTTCATATTCCCAATATCTTAAATGAATTAAATGCCACACCCTTAAAGGTATAGACCAGTTTTGGTCATGCGATTGCATTGTGAAAGAAACGTTGTGGAATTGATCAGAAAAGGTTGATCATCTAGCATATAAGTATTTGTGTGTACTGCAAGGTTCTGGAATCATCAAAATGATAAGAAATTTGGCCTAGTCTTGGTAAAGTTACAAGCCCTGTACACAGAAAGATGTATATGGGACTACGGTATATATATATCCAGTCCGGATAGAATAATTTACCGAATATATCAATTAGTAGGCGGTTTCCCAGCAAAATTTGTATCAACACGTATTAGTCAAAACATATTCTTTCACATGATTCGTAATAAGAGCTTCCATTTCATTTTTTGAGAGGGGGCATTTCCAAAACTTGTCTATACCGGTACCTTTAAATCTACAGGTAGCTTGATGAATACAATGTTCTATAGGAGCCACATCATTATATAATGCTTATCATTCCATTCAATAAATGTTTTGATGCAGCCCTGACTGAAGGCCTGAACTAGGCATATTATGAAAGACAGTTCTGAAAGATGTTTCATAAAATCAGAAAAAAAACTTTCTGGCATTCATCATTGAAAGATCATTATCAATCATTCCACATAACGCTGTAATCAAGGCTTTAAATTTCATTAATTTCAATTATAGTACATTGTATAAAATGCATTTAATTATGACAAATGTAATGTGCATTTCCAAATATCTTGATTACAACAATGATGTTTCATGTTACTATGCAAATAAATCAAGAGATCAATCCCCTCTAACAAAAGTTTATCAGTCGATTTCGTCCCTTTTAGTTAAAATTTGTAGGTTTCATTGAAAACATGTTTTAATCTTTGGTGATATCTAACATGCAGATTATCACTTGATTATCATCTGAGTATATGATTATTTGGCAAGACATTAATCTACATTTGCCTCACTCGAGCCAGGTGATGTAAATGGGCAGCTGGCAAGAATTAATTCCTTGAAATGCTAGAGCGCCAAAAAGGCAGCCATGATAAAGCCAGGGTAATAGCTGTTGAGCGCCAGGAGTGTCAAGTTTAACAGACATTAGCGCTTTACAAGAACCCACTATTATGATTATTATTATTAATGTCTGTGTATTATGCTGTAGCAAACCACATCCCCCACCTCAACAAAATTATGATAATAACTAGAAGAAAAAAAGACAAACAATATCGAGACCAGCTCATGTAACTTGCGCTAACAAAATGTAATAAATATGGTTAATTTCTCTATACTTAACATTTACATATATATAAAGGTAAAAATATCTACCTACATCTAGTAAAGAGCAAACAATATGAAGCAAAGTCAACACTGATTTTCCACCACATCTATAGACCCCTCAAGAAATAGCCCTACCAGGTGCACAATTTTTTTTTTAAGATGAAAAGTCGTATTTTTAAGAGGCGATATCGTATTATTGTTTTTCAATATTTTTATCATACTTAATACGATAAAATTGTACAGGTTAGCATCTCTGATATCCTAACATTCTGATTCTAATAAATTTCCTGTTGGCACTTTCCTAGCATTATACCAATGTCATTCCTTCTTCCAAACACAATAATTATAAAATATCTTAACTCTCAGGATTTTTCTGAAGAGAATAAATAGCACAAACATAATACAAACATATAGTAGCAAAGAACGATTCACCCACTGCCCCTTTATACTTTAATTCTTACATGAATCTGAACACTATATCATGGCATCAACGATACAAGTAAAAATGTTCATAACTATTAGTAGTTTCATTTCATTTTATGAAATATCCCTCGTCATGTAAACCCTATTACATGTATGTATACAATATGCCTTTCACAAAAGCGGTATCTAATATAACTGTTCCCTGTCACCCGTTCCATACCTCTACACTACCCCAACACTACAACACATAAATGAATACAAATCGATCAAATTTATACTGTAATATTAAAAAACAGTTCTATCAAACAAATTTCAAAAATTTCAATTTCTTTTACAAAAACAATATTGTTTTCCTTTTTAGTACAGTATGAAAAGTCCAGCTTTGGGCTTTAATCAAGGACAAAGTGAGAAAGGAACAAGGCTTCTAAGGGAGGCGAGGGAAAGGATTGGGAGGGTCATGAGAGGTTCATCCGTAGGTTGAAGGTGATTTTCTTATAAGGGGTAGACATCGGGAGGGGGAGGCGTTTCAAGGAGGGGTGGCGTAGTCACATGGACAAAGGGCGTGGTCTGGTTTCTATATCTTCATGGGGGCGACGGTGCACCTCTATGTCCTCTTTTATATGAAATACAGGTGGCAAAAATGCATTGGTTGTACATGTATTTGAAAGTACATGTTAGTGGTTTGGGCGATGTTCAATTAATGTGAATATATGCACAAGGTTTTTTAAATTTTGTTTATTCATTTATTTGTTGGTGTGTGTGGGTGGATGGTATTAATCACATTATACATCGGGGGAGGCATTTTGTAGTTCACATGATAAGATATGGCAAGGGAATTCCATTGTAAGATGAAAGTAAAATGAGAGTAAGTATTCAAATATCATTTGCACAGAATGAAAGTTAGTAAAAAGAGTATAAGCAAAAGAGAATAAAATGAAAATGCAGTATTGATGATTGATTTTATAGGTATATGGATGTTTAATTGCAAAATAGTGTATTGTAGAAATTTGGGGAAATCAATTGCAAGAAAAAGGGAAAGATACAAATGAACAATGAAAGATATATAACAAAAGAAGGAAAGAACAGTGGCAAGGAATATTAGAATGAAACAGGAAACAATTAAAACATAAATGAACAAAGACATTATTAGTCATTATCATCACCAAATTAAATCAGGAGAAAACAACATGACAGTTGATAGAATGGATTTCATATATATACGAATCATGGATTGTTTGTTTTTACAATTAGTATGACATATTTTTAGAATGATCAATGAATGGAGTATGGATGATATAAACATGGGAAGATGATGGGTACAAAGAAATGGAAAGATTGAGAAGGAGGTAGGAGGAAAGAGGAGAATAAAAAAAATCACAAAACATGTAAGAATAATGAGGGGATAACTTCATGGAAAACATCAACAACATGCGGATCGGTGCAAAATCACACGTATGGTAATAATTTCAATCAAACAAATCACAATGTACATATTATATCATTCTTTTTTGTAAGTACAGGGTCCCATCTTATAAAGAGTTGATTTTAATCACAACTTATTTGCATGTGATATCAATCGCAATGATGTACAAAAGAGATAGGAGACTGCAAACTTGAAATTGATCAGAGGACTAGCGATTAATTTGGATCAATCGCAACTCTTTATAAGACAGGGCCCAGGCTTACAACAAAGCTATCACAGAGAAATACATCATAGAACTATGAGGAGTAAAACCCTCTTCCTATGATTTAACATAATACTAAAACAGAGTGAAAACGAGAAGGCAACTAAAAGCTACTTAGACCTTCTTCATTATACAGAGTGACTTCACATTTATCCTAAGCCAACGGCAAACTTGTATAATCCAACTGAGATCAACTTGGAGGAAAAATTGCTACAGCATTCGTTATGAAAAATGTAAACATGCCACATGTAAAACACGCAAGACCCTAATGATTAAGTAGTAAATTGACATTGAGGGGTCATATGCACTTCTTTCGGAGAATGAGCACAATAGCAAAAGCCAAACTCTTCAAAAACTACCTGAAGTCCAGGATGTAACAATGCGTCTGGCTTTAATCTATGATTTACTACTGTATGACTATACTAGCTATAGGGTTATAATCACTGCAAATTTATTCTCACTGTAACCTGCTGTGAGAAACTATCTAGACTATCAACAATCTTGGCTCACATTCATACTGAGGGTTTCTAGAGATCCAAAATTATGTTAACAAAAACTACCCTAATTACGTTAAAGCCAATCAAAACTTCTTTCTTATTTTCACATGCAGGCAACACAACCAAGGGTGGCCATGCGAACGGAACGCCACACGAGGAAACATCGGATGTAACCTGTGCTGGCAGACCTAGGCTGCCCTTAAAGTGGACCGAACATTCAACCCAGCCCTAACCCGAAACATAATCTAAACCAACTCGACTCCCTAATCCTCATCCTATATCTTTGATGAAATGATAATATCCCATCCCAACGTCACCTAAGCAAAGGTCTGGTCATCATGATCTTGTCCTTATTAAGATTTATTCAGATGGCTCATTGTTGGGATGGGACGGAGGCTGTTGGAGATCCAAAACAATAGTAATAATAGTAGTAACGAGAACTAACCTAACAAGGAATCAAACCAACCATATTGTCAAGTGCATGAGAGTGTTTCACAAAGATCCTAAGTTGAATCTATCTCTAAGTTGGACTTATCAATTATGGAAAGCTGTTAGCATCTTTAAAAATATTTTGTAAAATTTATTTTAAAAGGCATAAAATGTTGATTCCAATCATTCATATTTTCTATTATCAAGGAGATTTCATGTTCTTGATGAAGAATTTATGAAAAGTCTAAAATACTTGAATTTTTGCTTTTGAATACATTTTATTTTAAGGCTACAAATAGCTCTCCATAATTTTTAAGTCCAAATTGGAGTTAAGTTTGACTTGTGAAACACCCCCAGGACACACAAGCAAGTGGTAAAACAAGGGTGGCCGCAAAAGGGAGGGCACATCAGAACTCACCTGTACTGGCTGATCTTGGCTGTCCTGCAGGTACTGTTAGGTTCTGTCTGGGTACTACAGGCTGGGCCTTGCCCTTGGCTGCTTTGGCCTGTAGGCTGCCCTGTGAGCTGTACTGTCTCTCTTTACTCTTCTGACGCTTCAAGAAACCAAACAGTTTCCGCTTGCTTCTCCTTGGAGACGACTCTGCATGGGAAGGTGTTGAGAGACAATGAGAATTAATTAGTAACAAATTCTAACCATTGATTACTAAATTATCTTGTACCAACAAGTTTAGCCCTTTCAATGTAACAGTGAGACATTTGAACAGTATTTTTGGACAACAAAGTTTATTTTTTGTTGTTCAAGAAATGGAAATGTTTACGTTCACTGTGAACATTAGATCCTTGGTAGACATTTCATGACAAATTTATCAATGAACACAAGATGAATGCAACTGCGTCTGTAATATGCCTCGGCCTATATGTATGTCCATCGATGAATGATGACCTTTACGTCTGACCACACCAACCCAAGCTCTTTTCATTTTAATCTTTTCATGCACCAACCTACTTGAATCCAGTTTGGTCAACATTGCTTCAAGTTATAGCAAGTTATCACAGTAATAAGATCATTTCCAAGATTTCAAACATTCTCATGGGTCTGTAATCTTTCACCTTTGACCTCTTACACCCAAAATCTCTTCAGTTCATCCTTAAATTTACACATTCTTAAGAAACATTCATTTTTAGATGATTGGTGCACACTATGACATTCTTTTTTTCTTCTTTTTTCCTCCATATTTGTATTATTATGTATCCATTGAGGGTAGACATGCTATCAAGCTTTGCTTACTTTGTCAACCCTCCTGTTTGATGTTTTCGATTAGTTACAGCCAGCCTAACTTTATTCTACGTATATTCTCTTGTCATGGGTAAAATTTGCAATGTTAGGTTGTTATATATTTGTAAAAGTGCTAAAGAAAAAGAAAATCAAACAGAAATATATAAATAAAATCAAAGGGCATACCAGCACTGATGGGTTCATGGGTTTCTCCTGTAGGTACCTCCAGGGTATTAGATCTATGGTCTGGTAGGGGTAAGGTGGACGTTCCCTCTGAGTTCCGTACGGCCTGCTGACGAGCCCGATCAAGGTCTGATTCATCCAGGCTGACGCTTCTACTTGCTTTCTCCTTCTTACTCCGACGTCTGAACAGCTTGAAACCACGCTTGCTGCGATTGGGCGATGCATCTATCAACCGAAAATGAATAAGGTATAAAGATAATAAGTGTACTGTTGTATGGGGCAGAGACGTGGACACTCGCCAAAAAGGACATTGAGCGATTGAAGGCGCTCAAAGTGTGGTGCTGGCGCAAATTACTAGGAGTGTCTTGGAGGGACAGAGTTTTGAATGAAGAGGTGTTGCATCGAGCTCAAGAAAAGCGGGTGCTGATTCAAAAGATTAAAGAGAGTATGTGCTCTTTGCTGGGTCCTTGTTCACTTTAAAGCCTCTCTAAAATGTTTGGAGCCCAACAAATTTGATGGCAAACATTAAGTGTTAGATGACATCCTCTTTCACATCATTACACAATTCAAGTAAATTTTGCCATCCAATTTTTTGGCGAATTTGGCGCTCCCAACACTTTAGAGGGGCTTTAACATTTACTATAACCAGAAATATTTTCTAGCTGAAGTTTTTGCTGGAATTGTTGGCAACAGCAATTTTGTTTGCATGAACATTTTGTGAGGTGCAGAAATTCATGTGTTTTTCTTTTGTAATTCAATCATTTTTACAGCATGCAACTTGCTGAAGATTCAAGATTTTCTAGTATTTTTTTGGTTCTGTAATAACTGCTTCTGCTTTAGAAGTATCAGAAAGCATAAACATTTTAGTAAAGGATCGTAACTGAGACAACTCTTACCTCTCTTAAAACTGCTATCTGCTGGCTCATCACTAAGGGTAGAGAGATCCACATTTGGTGTCTACAGATAAAAGAAAACACAGCAGAATTAAAGATAGCCACAGCTTCATATTGTAAAATGGAAATAACAATAGCATGAGATAAGATGTAATATTTACTCTACTTGAAACAGCAGCAAAACAAGCAATTCTTCATAAAAAAATTTATCAGTTGTACCTTTTTAATGAATTTCACTTTACATGTATATGCATTTCAAATGTCATCAATATACATGTATACATACATTTCTCTGAAATTGTTATTACTACAGCTTTTTGTAAATGCAATATTAATTTCAACATATTTCATGTTTTGTATGATCATGTAACATATGTATTCATGACAATGTAAACATGCTCAATTCAGCCTTTGGCTTTCATGCACTGTACTTAATAAAGACCATTACTGAAATTAATTAAATTGAAGAAAAAAAAAGAGCTTTATAGAGTGAGATGATCACATTTTCTTATGATGAAATTTCCTTAAAATTACTCAAACTAATGTGATTACAATTGAAAGTCTCTTCAGAAAACAGAGATGAGTATATAAGGCTTGTCTTCATCAGCTCCAGATTGCCAAATAGCCTGCTTCCTGATTTGGGAAATAATCCTGAAGTTACAAATCGCGTCTTCATCAGCTTGAGCTCAAGAAATTAGCTCGATATATTTTGCTCAGCAATTGCGCATAGTGAGAGTCTTCAGGCTGGTACAGACGCACCGGACAAATAGCGGGATATTTTGCAAACTAGCTCAAGATATCTTGAGATGATTATCTTGACCAAATATCCTGCTAATTGCAACTTTGGGCTCATAAAGACGCAAATTATCCAGTTAACAAATAGTTCAAATAGTGGGATATTTGGCAATCTCGAGCTGATGACGACAGGCCTTATAACTAGGAAGACGTGAATGGTCTCATGGGGCTATCCCCCTAGCAGGTGCAATAGGCAGAGTAGTTGTGGCAGTGTTTAACTTTAGAACTGACCACATCTCCTAAAATCAATTTGCTTTTGCTATCTAACTGACAATACTGCAGCCTAAAGAGTTGCTTGTCCAAGAAGAACTTTCAATTTAATTCCGTAATACATACACCATATTTGACAAGATGAACAAATTCATGTGCTACATATATTATATAATATATGTGACAATATGAATGTCTCTGGTTGGCATTTTGCAAACACTTACCTTTAAAAGTTAAAAATTGAAAGTAGATCTAAGGGCTTGCTTGTCAAAGAAGAACTTTCAATTTAGTTCATGTACGATATGTTAAACATTTCTTTTTCAATTTCTAGCTTAACATGATGCATGCTATACTAAACAGCAGAGCAATGTTATTTTTCATGGAACAGAGATTCTTAATTGAAAGAGAGGTAATTTGGTACAAAGTGGTATGTAACTATGAGATGAACAAAATCATGTGCTACAGGTATTACATAATATGTGACAATATGAATGTCTCTGGTTGACATTTTGCAAACACTTACCTTTAACATGTTAAAAATTGAAAGTGGGAGATGTGTTCGTAGATGATAACATGTGAAGAATGAGAGTATGACGTCAGCATCCATACTGACAGCGAATTAATCTTAAAACCTTAACACCCCATGGACTTACTACATGCATGTAGTACATAAAATTTGATGGTATGACTAAGAAATGCAAGTAAATGTACGATGAAATATTGCTTTAAAGTGTGTTTTTTTAATTACTTACTGCAGATGTACATGTATATATACATATAATGTGTAATGTTTGCCTGTGAGGAATACATGTGAGATATCTTTAAACAAAAATATGGTGCATATGAATGTTGTGAATTATCGTCATCATCATCATCATCATCAACACTATCATCATCACCACCATCATCATCACCACCATGACTGTCAGCGTCACCATCACCATCACCATCATCACCATAATCACCATCACCATCATCACCACCATCATCATCACCATATTCACCATCATCACCATCATCGCCATCACCATCACCATCACCATCACCATCATCACCATCATCACCATCATCATCATCACCATCATCATCATCATCATCACCACCATCATCACCATCACCATCACCATCACCATCATCACCATCACCATCATCATCATCACCATCACCACCATCATCACCATCACCATCATCATCATCATCATCATCATCATCATCACCATCATCATCATCATCATCATCATCATCATCATCATGTAGCACTCCATTGATGCATGAAGATAGAGTATAACAATATATGCATGTAGTAAATAAGTTATGTTTTCATTTAAATTCTAAATATCAGCATTTTAAATGCATGAGCAATGTATGCATGGTTACCAGAATGTAACTTTCAAAATGAAAGAAGAAAGTTCCGGTACAAATAAATGCTGATGAAAATTACTAAATAGCAATGAGCAAAGAGTCACTTTTATATAATCATAAGCGAGACATTTTCTCTTTTTGGGGCTTTGTTTTTAAGAAACTGCAATACATTTACCTCAGAAACAAGAAATGTTGGTTGCGATTTCTCCTACAGTTAGAGAGAATTTAATCATGAAGTAAGAAAGATGATGTCCCTTATATCATTAATTGATATTAAGAAAAATAAACAAATAATTGCATCACTTTCTTTTAGAAATATTTTCATCTCTTTACAGCAAAACATGTTCGATCCTTGCTTTTTGATAACAGGAAGTAAACCAATACATCTTTGTAAAAGTGCTGTAAAAAATAGTCATTGAATAAATGTCTTTATAAAACAAAGGAAATATGAAAAAAATGGTAAAGAATAATTAGATAAGTTAGTATGATATTACTGTGGAATGCTATTATAACTATATTTCATAAAGCAAAAACCTGCATGCATGGGCACTAATGGTTTGACAAATAATATTAATTCTTTGACAATTAGATTAATTATCTTAATACCAGGACTGGTTGTTTGAGGAATAGTTGTCTGGGGCAAGTCTTCCCAAGACTGTCAGTAGTCTAAGATCATGGACATCCCATAGAAACTTGAGATATAGTATTTACAAGCGTTTTAATGTGATGTCCACGAGCATAGACATATAACGGTTTTGAGAAACTGACCCCAAGTAGTTTCTTGACAGGAGTAGTTGAGCAGGGGGGTGTTTCACAAAGACTAAGATCGTTGGACTTTAAAGGAAACCGAACCCCAAGTAATAACTTTGCTTATTATATTCCGAGAGATTTATTAAATTATTGCCCATAAATCTACGAGATTCCCCACCAAAATGTATGATAGAGGTATAAAGCAAAAATAAAGTACAGTTTTTCAGCACGACATGGGCATCGCCATTTTCTTGATAATGTGACATACTATGCGAAGTCGTTTATCAAGTATGTATTCAAATTTATGGATGCTTCTTTCCCAGACGTGTGTAGTGATGAAGCATTTCATTCACCTGCTATTATCCTTTGTACTACAATTGCCAGAACGCAAATTGCATAAATAAGTTAGTGCTCTTCCAGGATGAAGATTTCTCATAAATGAAATGGATTTGTCAACTGCTATAGTGTAGTATTTATAAATTAATTTTGTTACAATTGTGCCCCTGTTATTTATTTTTCACCTAATATAATTTCTATCATCTCAGTTATTATTTTTGTTCATCGAAAAGTAAAGGTTTCGTTATTGAAAAAAAATTCTTTCCAACTAAAGCTTGGTGCATAATACATGTACAACTTCAACAGGTACGTCACATTTTCAAGAAAATGGCTGCGCCCATGTTATGCTGAAAGGCATCACATCATGCGAAGAATATCTTCATTTATATATATCTTGTACATTTTTGTAAGGAATATTGTACATCAAAGGGCAGGAACATATCTCATTTTTCAGAATACCTACACTTATTCTTTGGGTTTAGGTTTCCTTTAAGTTGGACTTAACGATGGCAGGCCACTCATGCCACTGGTTGCAATCACCATTATGATCTTTAGATGATATTTTTCCTTCAACAATGAATTATCAAAAAAATGTTAATTACGTAGATTTGTGACCATGGTTTGTACGTCCCTTGATAGACCAATAACAGTGGCATGAACGGCCTGCCATAGTTAAGTCCAACTTAAAGCCGATCTTAGTCTTTGTGAAACACCCCCATGGAGGAGTTATGGGTTAGTAACGTGTGTAGTTATCTTGAGAAGGAAGAAATGAGCAACTGTTTACTGAAACGGCTTTCACATAGAAAGTCACAGTAAAACTAAGAACCAAACCAAATTATTATAACCAAATATTTCCTTTCAGTGGGTTAGTGGTTCAGAAGTGGTATCTTAATCGGGAGATCCCGGCGTGTTGGAAACCAAGTCAATGCGCTACGGTATTAATCCTCATTACCAAGTCCCTCAGAGAGGACTAAAAGCCGTCGGTCTGCTGGTTGCTTACTTACAGGCATACACACTCTCTTTCTCTATGTGCCATGTCCTAAGACGTTGGCGACCATGGAGTGCCACAACTCTCTGTCCCATAGTCTATGAAGTAATTTATTCTCCCCATGATCAATTCCACTTTCAGAAATCCCACTCCTTAAAGCCCCACTGTCCTACTTGTAGCTACTTGCTCATAGATATAGAAAACTTCCCCAATCGGTGCCTGTTGGTCCCCCATGATCCTCTTTTTCTTATGTTAGTTGAGAGCTGAGTTAATGAGATAGCCACCTGTCAGTGACCTCGCTGTGTGGTCTAATCCCTTCTGACCCAGTAGTATTGATGGTCTTTAAGCTAATCATCCACAGAATCCTCCTACCCCTACTCCTCCTCCCCTCGATTCTTCCAGTCAGTGCAAGATTTTCCAAACCATGCTTTTTTAAAAGTCGGATAAACCACTGACAACCCAACAAACAAACCAAACAAAAAATAAGAAAGAACCTAAACTAATTACCTGTGAGACTCCATGAATGGTGAGAGTACTCTTCTTTGTGGGTGTTTTCTGTCTATTATCCCCTGCAGACTCTGAGAGATGTCGGATCGCTGCGTCGGAAACCGAGCGAGAACCAGTTTCTGCTGAAGGTGTGTTCAAGTCATGCCTCGTTTCTAGAAGGAAAAAGATTAATTGCTGAATTATTATTGTTTCCTTGTGCAAGGACCCAATAGAGAGGGGCACAGATGATTATTTTGACTTCTTGATCATGGTGGACTTAATATGTATTTGGTTTTCTTTCCAAAATTGTGACATATTTCATTCATCAATTAATTGGTTGATATTGGATTTTTTATTCTTTTATTGAGCCCATTATCAATGCTGCATGTACAGTATTACATTAAAAATAATGATAATAATAATAACGATAATAAAATAAAAGTAATAATAATAATAATAGTAATAATTTAATTCAATTTCAGTTTCTACTAATATGAAGAAAAACATTGAATGATATAAAGGAAAGTGTGATAATAATTATAATAATACTGATAATAATAATAATAATAATAAGAAGAAGAAGAAAACAATTTTGAAAGATGACAGGAAATTGTGAAAAACAGAGTGATGCAATACAAAGAAGAAGCTATACATTGCTCTCATTACATTGATTGATACACACTCAGTGCATTACTAGCAGAAAAAATGCTCAAGATGCTACAACACTTGTACAAATGTAAGCTCTGCTCAAAGTTACAAAGAAGTGCAGATTAAGAACCAACGATAGTCAGTTTCTACCGTAAGTCTTTATTTATGAAGTTCTAGAAAGTTTGGACTATCATATGCAACACTGAAAGAAAAAAGAAAGTACAAGTACATGGAAGTGTGTGCACAGCTTAAGAGAGAATTCTAGACAAGAGAATAAGTGTAAACTTAGCTCTAACAATTTTAATGATCACGGTCCAAAGTTGCAATGGTACTTTAGTGCTTCATGAACAATCTGACGTCATGTGATACTAAATAAGTGCACGTGCATGATAAAGATTTTGATAGAGGTGGGTGTAATTGTAGTTTGGTGCTTCATTAACAATCTAAGAAACTTAGTTCATGTGATACTAAAAATGTGCAGATAAAGATTTTGATAGAGATGGGTGCAGTTCTAGCAAAAACACATACATGTAAGTCAACAACAACAGGTGTAGTTTCGTACTTCACAAACGCTTTTGAGCCCATTGACTACTGACTTCTCTCATTTCCATAGGCTTAATACAGGACCAACCCAGTTCCAGTAGTCAATAGGTTAAAAGCAATATTTGCTAAGATACAAAGAGCTGCTAAAAGAATTCTCAGAAGAAGTGAAAGAAGTGTAATTCTAGCACCAAACGCTGAGACCAACATTCATGAAAGAGGTAAAGGGATCTGGTAACTTTGTCTCAGATTCTGAAACAAAATCCTGGATTTAGCTCATGCTGCAATGATAATTATAAACCTTTAGGTCAGTCAGGAACCCCATGACTTTTACAAGCCGATTGCCTGTCTGATATTTATGATTGGAATTTGGAAATCAAAACCAAATTTTTTGTTTTTTTACGGTTTTCATAGCACTAGTCTATTGGGAAAAAGAATATGGTAAAACCGGTCACTCAAATAATTGTACTTTTTTGAGGCACTTCTTGAGCATTTTGAAGCCCAATCTTTTTTAGGGCTTAAATATTACACCATATCACAGACAATGATAGCACGTAGGGCTGTGCATCTCAGATTTAACATTGTTAAACGATGCCTTTAACTCGTGGTTTAGACCTCCAGGAGTGCAGTATGTGCATGTTTAATGCACCAACATACACATACAATGCATACCTGCCAACCTTTCACAGCAAAAATAAGGAATCTCTCAAGGCAAAATTAGGAATAGTCTATTTCGTATACTTTCCACACAGAATATTTCAGAAAAAGAGAAGAATCTAGAGTTCAAAACAATAGCTTCAAGGCCCAAAAACAGAAATCAACCTTCCAAAATAGGAATGGTTGGCAGCTATGGCAACGTATATTCATGCATATTTACAGTGGAGCTTAAACCCCTGGGGGTGTTTCACATAACTTGTCATCAGTGACAAAGTACAGTTCTTGTTATAAGCTAGTGAAATCCTTGCTTCTGATTGGATATCAGCAGATTTGTCACTGATTTTTGTCATTTGTCATTGAAAAAAGGCTTTGTGAAACGGGTCCCTGGTTTAGGTCAATGTTCCTTTCAGACCTCCTTTGTGAGTTCAAGCCTTAAAGTGTACCAATCACCGAAACTGAAAACAAATGATTTGTGTATAGCAAGAAATGTATAAAAATTACCTCAAAGACTTTGCCTTGCATTTAAGGGGTTAACGGTAAAGAAGTATGAGGGAAATAAAGCATAGCATGAAACCCAGCACATGGGACCCAGGTCTGAATTGGATTCCGTACAGCCCTATTCTGCATGCGTTAGCTTGTCTTGTTTACCAAGAGTGTATTTAAACTGCAGTATCTCTTTGCAGAAGGAATAGATTCAAGGGGTTTTTCACAAAGACTATTCAGATCAACTTGAGTTGGACTTGAACTATGGCAGGCGATTTGTGACCTTAAAAAGTCTTGACCAGATGTAAAATTACAGGGGGAAAACCTTACAAATTATGATCTTTAGATTCAAAAAAATTTCCTTGAATAATAAAGTATCAAAAATGTGAATTCTGTAGGTTTGTGACGTCCCTAGAGAAAGAGACCAATGGTGTGAGCAAACAGTGGCATGATAGCCTGCCATAGTTCAAGTCCAACCGAAGTCAATCTAATAGTCTTTGTGAACAAATGTTGGTAATTGGTACACTTTAAAGCTCTCCGTGCTGCACTATGACAATGAAAAACTTAGATGCTGCTTATAAGTATCGGCTTGCATGGTGATGTAGATATACAGTAGGCTTGCAGGTGCACCATGTGAGAGAGAGAGAGAGGATTGAGGAGTCCTGAAAAGGACTCTCGGTAATCTTTCTTGGGGGGGGGGTGTAGTCCTGAAAAGGACTCTTTGTTATTTTTCTTAGCTTATAGTTGTAAGGAGAACTATAGCGCTTGGAGAGGATGAGTGGCTCGACGTTTAAGTCACCGCACCCCGGTGACTTAAGCTCACGCACGCCAGCTATTCTCCACTCCTGACGACGGATAGTCAACCTGTTCGAAACGTCAAGCCACTCATCCTCTCTGAGCGCTATAGTTCTCCTTAGAACTATAAGCTAAGAAAGATAACAAACAGTCCTTTTCAGGACTACACACCCCCAAGAAAGATTACTGAGTTAGAGTCCTTTTCAGGACTCCTCAATCCTCTCTCTCTCACATGGTGCACCCGCAAGCCTACTGTATATGTAGACAATGAATAATTTGAGTGTGCTGGACAGCCAAACAAACCTCTGATTATAATGCTTGGACCTGGGGTCTGAGTTGCTGTTAAACCAAAATCCATGATGCAAATGAAAAGGTTTATGGTAATGATTAAATGAGAATTTATGAGATGATGCAAAGCTTATGAATTCAATTTAATAGACATTTAAGCATATATGAAAGCCAAGAAGAGGTTTGTGTTTATATCAGTCAGAAGCAGATTTAATGAATTGATAACATTAAAAGAACTTTCAGTTCGGTAAGGGTTAATGAGAAAAGAATACTGGATTATTTTAATGCAAGAACATAAAATGATAAATGTAATTAAACTGTAATTTTTAGGGGCAAAACTACAATGTTTTGTGAAAGTAACAAATCAATGAATTTTCAGGATGAGTCTCAATTCAAGAACCTTCCCATACGCTAAATGTAGCTATTTTGGGGTTGATACATGTGAGTTTTGATATGTCCAGGAAAGAATTGTCGACTGCATTGCAATAAAAACTGACCCAACGTCAATTCATTACCTGATGAAGTCCTCTGCCTTGGTGCCTCTAAGGAGGACTGAGTACCGGTAGAATGGTGAGACCGGTCCACCCCGCCCTCCCCATTGGGATACATCCCGGGTCTCTGGGGTGTAGGAAGGGATGCTGCTGTCGTTACTACCCTCATTGGTGCTTCTACAAGAGATATTCAGGAGAGATTGGCATTACTTATTTACATATTCATGAACAAATACATAAATATATGTAATGGGGCAGTTTTGTAAAAATGTTTAGGATGATCTGCCACACCCCCATTTTCGGGGTGGGGGGGGGGGGGGATCACAAGCAATGCTGCTGTAGTCAATACCCTCATTGGTGTTTAAAAAAAGACAGATTCCAAAGGTGGTGGATATTAAGGACTTACGATAGAGGAGAGAAAATTTGACAAGATAATGTTTGAACTCTTGATAGGGAGTTCTGGTAATGACATAAAACATATACTGTAAAACCACATTTGTTGTTTCCATGAAAATTGTTTGTTGTTAAAGGTAGTACAAAGTTTTGGTATGGGGTCATTTATTTGGTTCAAATGAACATATTGGAAGCATATGCGATCCTACAATAATCTGTGATCGTTGTCGCGGTTAAAATCGTGTCTGAAGTTATGAAATTGTAAATAATACACTCTTTAGGTTGTTTAACCCCCTCTCAAGGTTAATATATTAATTAAGCTACAAAACAATGTTTCTTGACTAAAATCGACCAATAGCTATTCCCGTTTGGAAAGAATATATCACAACTACATATTCTGAGATTTTCATGGTCGCAGCTACGATTGTACGGCCTTAGGCGCTATTTGAAATTCATCAAAATTTACCGGGAGCACCAGTAAATGTTTATATTCAATTTTTCTCGAAAGCAGAAGTTTTTTAGGGGCTTAATTTCCCAGTGCTTATAATACATCCACAGGGGCATCCAAATATATCAAAATTGTAAAGAATCACTACCACCCAATTTTCAAAATTTCCCAAAACTTTGTATTACCTTTAAAACATGTAATGAAGGAACCTATACGTTAAGACCAACGGCCTATAAAGGCCACTTTTTTGGCTTTATATCCAGGTTTCACTTTACAGTGTAATTAAAACCTAGTAAGAACAGGTTCAAAAAATAGTATTTACATGCCAGGGCCATCCCCCTCTTACCATTAGATCCTGTTCTTCTTTCTCCAGCCTTGGGCTTGGCTGTTGTGGTCGTTACCATGGTGATAACGGTTCCATCAGGAGCGATGCTCCTTGATGTCTCGACTCTCTTGGTAGGGGAGACGGGTTGTCTTGGTTTGATCTCCGTGTTCTGTTCAGCAGACTCCATGAATAGGAACTGAGGAGAGAACAGTAATATATGTTTACCATGGCGATACTCCTAAATGCCTCGACTCTCTTGGTAGGGGAAACGGGATGTGTTGCGCTTGATCTCCATGTTCCGCTTCAGCAGACTCCATAACAGTAATATCAATGGTTATGACAGAGCTAGTGGGATAGCATGGGTCCAGCTGTTGAGGGGGCCTGGTTTCGTGGGGGGGGGGGGGGCAATCAGTCCCATTTGTTGGATGGAACAAGACCACTGAATGAGTCTTGAATATAGATTTTGTTTCATCAAAACACTTTGTTAATAGCTGTCTAGGGAGGGGAGGTTGTGAAAACAGGTAACATCTATTTGTTTTGCCTTCCTGCTCTGCCTTTTCTTGCTCACAGACAATACACACAACACTAGACGGAGTGTGGTAGTTTGTATGTTTGTTTGTTTGTTTGATTTATTTCGGTATAAAAAGACATCATGCATTCAGTAAAATAATAACAAATAGAATAATGAATTACAAGATAAAATAAACGGCTGGATAGCCCATATTCAGCGGTATCGTTATGATACCGCTGGTCTTCCATGGGGACCAGAGTTAACCCACTTACTTCCCTCCATCCTCTGTATCTCTGCTCAATGGTAAGATGTGCTGAGATATATGCACATTGTTTATCATTCATGTACACAACCATAGACTTGTACTAATCACTAGAAGGGGTCCATATTTGAGTTTATACACTTACCCATTCAATGAGAGACCCTTTGACACTCTCTCCATCCCCTGTAACTCAACTCAGTGGTGATATTTGATGAGAACTACTGGGTATTTTCATGTACATTGTTTTTATCATTCGTGTACAATATCCACAGACTTACACACAACACTTGACATCTTCCCTGTCTGGTAATTCAAGGGTTAACCCACTTACCCATACAGTGAGAGACCCTTTGACACTCTCTCCATCCCCGTAACTCCACTCAGTGGTACGACAACCACAGACTTTCACGCAACAATGGATAGCATCCCTGTCTGGTAATTCAAGAGTTAACCCACTTACCCATACAGTGAGAGAGCCTTTGACACTCTCTCCATCCCCTGTAACTCCATTCAGTGGCAGGATATGTCTGCTGCCTCTCATGTGCTCCAGAGTATCAACCGGCACCTGAGCATCACCAAAGAACAAATCTAACAACAAAAATAATAAGAGAGAGATGGTCAGACGTACGTGTAAAGGCAGAAAATGAAACAGAGAGCCGGAGAATACCGGTAGACAGAGAGGGGTAGAACTAGCCCTTGCCGGTTGTTATGCATACATGTAAAGGCAGAAGAGGAAACAGAGAGCCGGAGAAGAGACAGAAAGGGGAAGGACTAGTCTGCAGGCACAAACCCTTAATATCGGTTGTTGCGCATAATAGTGTCTGCAATGTGAGACTACAGTAGGTTCTGTGCTCAAACTGTTTGATGCAGCCAGAAAGTGGTAGATCTAGGCTCTGCTCAAGGCTTTAGGAATGGTGGTAAAGTGTCAAATTTGAGTATGTGCTTGTAGATGAGGATACAAAAGAGGGTGCAGATACATGTTGGCCAAACAAAACACAGCTTTTCAGACAGATATAGAGAAACCCAGACAAAAAATTGTGCAAATATTCTTAAACTATACACATGTAGAATTGCAGAAAGTATTATAATATGAATACCGCACAAATACACATACATGTACATGTATGCAGGAAATATCAGCATCATTATCATCATCATTTATTAAAATCAACATTTCCCTTTTACCAGGAGTTCCTGACTTTTGTGCCAAGATGATACTCCCTCCCTCCACTTCTTTTAGTCTTGAGCATCCTACATAATTTAGACTATTCAACATTTCCTCGTTTGACATTCAAAGTCATAGTTTTATGTGATTTGGCAGTAGCCTACTGATTCTGAGATAATTATTGGTTCAATAATGAGTCAATTAAAGGAGAATAACATCTCACCGTTACTTCCTTTGTCCCAGACTTCAAAGCGTAGTTCCCTTGAGTTACCATTTAGTTGACTGCAAAATGAAAAAAAATAAGAAGACATTGTAAACTTACTAGAAGCATTGCTATTTCCATTGATAACATAAGTTTTAACACTATCACCAACATTATAATCAGCAACATCATCCTAATCATACTCATTATGATCAATAAACCATCAACAATGGCAAATTGGCCATCACTATTACCACTATCATCATCATCATCAATATTACCACCACCATCATAATCATCAACATCATCATCATCAAAACAATGATAGGTATCAACACCTTACCACTAATACCTTTTCTTTATCATAATCATCATCATCATCACCATAGAAACTAACAACAAGAAGTGTTAGTCCCAGAATGGATTGGTGGTGTTGACGATGGTGCTGGTCTTGGTTCTCTGCAGTGGTTGATCATCATCATCATCATCATCACTGATATTAAACCATCACTACCACCACCACCACCACCACCACCACCATCACCATCACCACCACCACCACCACCACCACCCCCCCCCCCCACCACCACCACCACCACCACCACCACCACCACCATCATCATCATCATCATCATCATCATCATCATCATCATCATCATCATGTTGATAGTAACTTACAACAAGAAGTGTTCATCCCAGAATGGATTGGTGGTGTTGACGATGGTGCTGGTCTTGTATCTCTATGGTGGTTGATCACCATCATCATCATCATCATCATCATCATCATCATCATCATCAGTGATATTAAACCATCACTACCACCACCACCACCTCCACCATCATCATCATCATCACCAACAAATGAATAACAAGCATTAACATCTTACTATCATTATAATCATTGCCGTCATTCCCACAACTGACATCACTGCTATCCCCATCATCATCATCATCACCATAGTAACTTACAACAAGAAGTGTTCATCCCAGAATGGATTGGTGGTATTGATAATGGTGTTGGCCTTGTATCTCTGCGATGGTTGATCATCATCATCACTGATATTAAACCACCACTACCACCACCTCCACCACCATCATCATCATCATCACCATAGTAACTTAAAACAAGAAGTGTTCGTCCCAGAATGGATTGGTGGTGTTGACGATGGTGTTGGTCTTGTATCTCTGAGGAGGGTGATCATCATCACCACCATCATCCCCACTATCATCATCACTGATATTAAACCACTACCACCATCATCATCACCACCAACAAAAGAATGACAAGTACTAACATCCTACTAGCATCATAATCATGGCCATCATCACCACAACTGACATCACCACTATCCCTATTATCATCATCACGTCGATAGTAACTTACAACAAGAAGTGTTCATCCCAGAATGGATTGGTGGTGTTGACGATGGTGTTAGTCTTGTATCTCTGTGGCGGGTGATCAAGCATGGCGATGCAGTATGGGTCGCTGCTGCTTCCTCCGCTCCTAACCAAAAGACCGTTGGCTTTGATCACTAAAAAACAGACAGAAAAATAAAATAGAAAACAGGGAATGATTATAAACAGCGATCCATGTTTATGGTCTGATGTGATCACTGTTCATACAGAATAATATACATCCATATCTTTGGCGTTTCTAATGGTTCTAAAAAATACAGCGGAACCTGTCTATACAGGCCACAAAAGGAAACAGGAATATTGACCACTGTAGACAGGTTCTACAACACATATTTTTCTCTTGAGGAAAGACAATATACATGGCCACTACAGACATGGCGCCACTAAGATAGGTTTAACTGTATGCTTTGGTATGCTACGTCATCAATTTCCAACACAAACTGACTCAACGCTAAATCTTCATTGAATTTGTGAGGTGTAAATCCCCTTTGGCACTTAAAAAGTTTTATCATACATGTACATGAACAGCGCATTAAGAAATTTAATGTAATTTAAAGTCTCTCAATATATTGTTACTACCGGTACTACAAGAATTACAAAATACATGAAATGCGATATATGCAACATTGCACAAAAAGAGGATATCAGCAGAGTAAAAAATTGCAGAATAAGAGCACAGTATCATGAAAGAAGAGCTAGGCTGGCTACGCTGCTAGCTGAATATGGATATGAAAAAGATTCAGCTAGCCTATACTGTACAAAACCACTTCAATACCTGATAAAATCTAAAAGTCATCCTCGCGAGAATACTGGCACTATGGATAGTATTATTCAGTTGACTTTTTGTCACAGAGGCTTACAGATGGCAATATATGCATGTTGTACAATTCCCTCATGGCACAATAAAACCATCTGACGGTGCATAAAATCACTGAGATTGCTTGTGTCTTGCTTGCACCTAAAAGTCATTGTGTTGTTCATTCTACTAAATGTATATAACACATTTTATGCTCTACTCAAGTAATTTATAATGTTGGGCTAAGCTGGTCTGCAAAATAAGTACCTACATGTATAGTTTCACTCATTGCATCCTTCTAGCTTGCGAAGAAATGAATGTGTTGTTTTTCGTGGAAAGGTATAAAACTACAATTTTTGTTTCAATGCAATAAGATCTAAACAGCAAGAGAATTATGATAGTACTACAGAGTAGCGCTACGTGTATAAATGCAGCTCTAGTGATGTGTTCGACAAAATAAGAAGAGAAGAAACACCTTGGGGTGTTTAACAAAGATCCTAAGTCAAACTTAACTCCAATTTGGACTTAAAAATTAAGGAGAGCCATTTGTAGCCTTAAAATAAAATATGTTCAAAAGTGAAAATTCAAGTATTTTAGACTTTTTATAAATTCCACACTAAGAACATAAAATCTCCTTTATAATAGAAAATATGAAAGATTTGAATCAACATTTTATGCCTTTTAAAATAACTTTTACAAAATATTTTCATAGATGCTAACGGCTTTCCATAATTTTTAAGTCCCACTTAGAGATAAGTTCAACTTGGGATCTTTGTGAAACACCCCCCAGAATGTTGGTGGACCTCCTCTTAGCCTCTACTCTCTAACACCTAACATTTACACAACCTAGTGTAAACAGTGTCCATGCAATGTTTGGATTGTGCATTACATGGTATAGTAAGTGGGGTGTTCCTCTAGGTGAATTGTGTACATTAAAGCCCCTCTAAAGTGTTGGGAGCACCAAATATTTGATTGCAACATTTCACTTAAATTGTATCATAATGTGACATGAATTTTTAAACAAATGTGTTTGAAGTCGAATTTTGATGAAAGAATACAAAATGTAGGTTTTCGGCATACAACAGAAACCCCCAAATTATGAATTCTTTCGTCAATATTTGTCTTCGAACACAACTTTTTTTTTTATTGGGGGGGGGGGGTGGAATCTTTGCAGTAGTGTGTCTTAAATTGCATTCCCTTTCACATTATGATACAATTTAATTGAAATTTTGCCATCAATTTTTTTTGGATGAATTTGGGGCTCCCGACACTTTAGAATGGATTTAATGTATACAGCCATTTGACATGTATTTTTGTGATTTTGTAATGAGCCAATCAACAGCCAATCAACAAATGGAACCATTCGGTCCCCATAGGGAATTAATTAAGGGATTGATAGGGTAAAACTACAAAGAACTAAACCTAGCATGGAGCACCTGTTTTATATGCCTGTTGTATACACTGTGGACCAATTACAAATATATTGTTAAGTTTCATTGTTTTACTATGTACAATGCAATCCCATGTACTTTATGTATTTTGTTGGAAATGGAAATAAACAAAATGAAATGAGAATTATCTGTGGTGAAGCTTTCACTTGGTAGTATTGCTTGTCATGAGGGGAAGGGGAGGGGAGGGGAGGGGGAGGAGGAGGGGGAGTAGGAGGGGAGTGAAGGTAAAGGGGGGCATTGGAATTTTAGGTGGAAGGATTTCAAGAGCAATGGTCACAGAGTGAGTAAAGGGATTGGGAGTGAGTCCTATCATCTTCATTTCATATTTTCAAATTTCACTTTCTACTTTCACTTTCTTTTCCCCCTTTTTTAAATCTACTTATGAATTTAGTGAAGGGGGGCATATTTGTAGGGGGGCATCCATACGTCCGCTTTGGTTTATTTTTTTCATATTTTGTGAGGATCATTTTTAACAAGCCACTTTTGCGTTTTCATGATCCTACCACTTCAGATATCCATACCTGCCAACCTGAGACAAGAGAAATTAGGAGTAAATTTTTCTGGATGGACTACGAGGTCGCAAAGCACCAAAGGATTGGGGTAGTAGCCCGTAGATTGGGGGGGGGGGAACTAACGATCACGTTCGAGCTGCGCTGTGTATATCTTCTATGAGCGCGAGCGCGGATGTTGTGTTATGCTTTAGTCTTATACATACATACATACATATTGGTATTTATTGAGCACCTTTACATGAACATGCTCAAGGCGCTTTACATTTCGAAATACAAACATAATAGTTATATACTCTCCAAGTGCATTACACTCTAAAAAAAAATAAAAAAAAAAATAAAAAAAAAAAAAAAAATTAAATTAAAAAAAAAAAATCGGAGTTTTGAGGCATGCATTCGGAATTCGGAGTTGGTATGAAAAATGCGGAGGAACTCCGCCTAAATCGGGGTGGTTGGCAGGTATGGATATCTGATTATATATGCTTGAATAGTGAAGATTATACTTTTTTTTTCTTCATCCCAACATGAAAATAAATGAATATTAATCGGAGTGCTACTCTCAGGTGTTCTGCTACTGCAGGTGAGCATACAAAACTGAGGTGAAGAATACAGAAAGTGAAATAAGAGGGCAGATCAAAGTGACATTGCAAAAAAATTAGAATCATAAGAAAATAAGTAAATATATAAAGAAACAAACAAATATATATATATAAATAAATTAAATTGAATTAGTTAATTAATTAATAAATAAGTAAAAAAAAAAAATAAATAAATAAATTATCAAATGAAATGATTAATTAATCAATAATCAAGTAAACAAAACAAACAAATAAAAAAACTAACAAATAAATTAATAAGTGAATGAATAAATAATAAGAATAATTAATTGATTAATGGACTCACCTTTGACCACAAGGCACATGTTAGAGGGGGCTTTAAGTAACATGAAACAAATTATACAAATTATCTATGATTTATAATTATAATTCAATGTATGTGTCCTATACTGCATTAGTATTAAGTAAGTCCATTAATTTTATCTTTAAAAAATGAAAAATAGCTTGATATGATAATTCAATTACATGTATATTAGTGATACAAGAAATTACTACGGACAAACCAGCCCAAGGGAAACACAAAAAGTGGTCTTTGTAGACAAGCAGGCAGGTCCCTTTAGTACATGTTTCAATGAGAAACCCATTTTCAAAGGAAACCAAAAAGGGTGGTCTTTGTATACAGGTGGTCAAAGCAGGTTCGACTGTATTAGTCAATGCTCATATCAAGAGGTTTGCACTTTTAGTTTCAATAAATGAATAAATGTTGAACCAAATATATTGCATGAAATTGCCTTTAAGAGCATACATACACAAACATGTACATCTTGGATGCTTTGAAAGTTAATAAACGGGACTACACGTGTAGCTTCTAACTGATAAAATACAGGCATACTTGAGAAGAAAACAAATTAATAGTTCCCACAAGTTCACAGCTGAATAACAAGGAATGCATGCTTTTGAAATGCTATTAATTAATTGGCCTTCAATTTTGGACTTCAATGCAAGGGATTGTATCGGGTGTCACTGAAAAGAATAATGATTTGCTTCAATGAGCATTCATCAATGACCGAAATCATAAAGGCACAAGAAGTATCTAATTTTAAAGATAACATACCAGTATAATACATTTGTTCAAAGTCACAGAGTTCATCACTGAAATTCTTGGATGGATTTTGAGCTCATGCACGGTACAGGGAGGGTTAACTTTGAAGGACAATGATATATTTTATTCTCATTAACAGCATGATAATTATTCAAGATGGGTTTCAACAGAAACACACCAAATTTTTGAGTCACTAGTTCTTCTTTTTATATCCAAGGTTTATAATATGTGGCAGGTACATATGGGGTGTTTCACAAAGATCCTAAAGTCGAACTTAACTCTAGGTTAGACTTAAAATTTATGGAGAGCCATTTGTAGCCTTAAAATAAAATATATTCAAAAGTGAGATTCAAGTATTTTAGACTTTTTATAAATTCCACATCAAGAACATGAAATCTCTTTGATAATATAAAATATAACAGATTTGAGTCAACATTTTATTTTCACAGATGCTAACGGCTTTCCATAATTGTTAAGTCCAACTTAGAGATAAGTTCAACTTAGGATCCTTGTGAAACACCCCCATGGTCTCAATCTAAAGCTCACTCTGAAGTCTGGCACAAAAGGAGCCACATTTAAAAACATTTCTCAGATCTCATGAATATGACATCAATGTTACTGCCCATGTCACTGCTGCCAATGACAGCCCCTGTTCCAGTGACATGTTTCTCTGCAACAGCAGCATGAACAAGGTCTAATTTTGACACTATATCGCTGCTATCATAGACAGCCCTGCTTACTTTCATTTAAAGGGATCGTTTAACAATGTTAAATATCAGATACACGGCCCTACTTGTTATCATTGTCTGAGATATGGTGGAATATTGAAGTTCTAAAAAAATGATCAAGAAGTGCCTCAAAAAAGTAAAATTGTTTGAGTGACTGGTTTTACCATACTCGTTTTCCCCAATAGACTGTAGTGTTATGAAAACCGTTTAGCAAACGGTCTTCAAAATTTGTAATTCCAATCATAGATGTCTTGAAAATCAGACAGGCGATCGGCTTGTAAAAGTCATGGGGTTCCTAACTGACCTCAAGGTTTATAATTATCATTGCAGCATGAGACAAAGTTACCGGATCCCTTTAAGAGGAACAATGTGACATGATTGTGTGAACGCAATATACAAGGTAAAGTTTGACAACGCTGCCATAAATAAATTTGAACATGTAACCATTCTACATGTACTTGACTAATGCTTCAGTCACACCTTTGCCTTATTTGGCTTGCGTATTGCTGCGTATTTATGGCAAGCCATTTTAACATTTAATCCTATTTCTTAGTATCAGAAAATGAATTCTTGATATCAAGAAATGATTTTTTTTCTGTTGTAAAGCAATGGTAATTCTTGATATCAAGAATTTTATTTCTTGATATCAAGAATTCTATTGCCATAAATATGCAGCAATACGCAAGCTAAATACGCAAAGGTTTGACTGAAGCATTAGAGGCTCATGGCAGTGTGAATGCAGTGTCTAGTATAAATCTTACAGTATATCACTGCTGCATACTGTAGCAAGGCCCTGTTCACCTTTGAGAAAGTGAATCATAGCTCCAATGTCAGTGTGAATGCGCTTTGGATGTTACCCTATAATGTAATTGTAATAGCGAGCCCTGTTTACCTTTGACTAAGAGGCGCGTTTCTGCCATGGTAGGCGGTTTAGATGACACGTGGTTGGTACTGGAGGGTACGATGGGGGCATGGTGTACATGCTGAGGCATTCGATTGGTGTTGTTACTCTGTGGTAACGAAACAGAAGAAAAATGAAACAGAAGTATTAATAATAAAGAATATTACAGATGATTACTGGTATCACAACTGTCTAGATGTCCTTTTGATTTAAGAAAACAACTGTAAACTGTAATGAATTATAATATTTGCATATCGAAAGGATGACCAGTACTGGATGCTGATCATTTTTTAGAGTGGTGAATTAAAAAACTCAAACCTTATATACATGTAAGTAATCCAATAATGGCACAAGCCTTACATTAAACTTTAGGGAATCTAAGGTCAAGTCACTACAAAACTTTTGCATTTTTTTGTAGGTACTATTCCATTAAAAAGAACAAAATGGGCGGCAAGAAATTAAATACAACAGCAAGAAATCTCACGCCTTATAGGGGGGCCACAAGAATCTTTTGTTGGACCTATTGTACATATTTAAAGATTTCCTAAAAACCAAGGTCAATGAAAAAACAACCAAGAATGGGGGTGAGGGGAGGGGGGGGGACATTGATAAAGCCACAGAATCATTGACACTTCAAAAAATAGATCAAATAGATTCATAGGTCCATGAAAGGATATGTTGGTCTGGCTGTGTTCATATGGATAGGACTGGTAGCAATTATGATCTCTCTAGATAGCACCCTCATGTACAGCAATGAATCTGAGACCTTCATAATCGATATGGGGTGCCACAAGGATGTTTTATTGGACCTGTACTATTTTTTTAAAATCCTTACAACACCATTTTCAAAGGGGTGTAAATAATTGTTTTGTTATAATAATACATAATAATAATAACTAATTAATTAATTAATTAATAATAGAAGAATTAATAAATTAATAATAGAAGAAAAAAAGGGGAAAAATTGACATTTTGGGGTAAAACAGAACTTTGTATACTTAGGAACAAAAGAAAAATTTACTGGTAAAAGAAATGACATTAAGTCCTATAACAAAGAGAAAACCATCATTTCTCTTGTATCAAGCTCATACCATGGAAGGATACGTCGGCTGTCTGGCTGTGTTCGTATGGATGGCATTGGTGGCAGTTATGATCTCTCTGGGGAGGGACCTCATGGGCAGCGACAGGTTAAAGGTGGCAGCCATGATGGCATTGCGGAGAATCTCCTCCACAACGACAAGGTCAACTCCATCATTCTGCTGCATAAGAAGATTATTAAAAAATTGTTAACATTAATAATGATAATAATAATAACCATAATAATTATAATTAAATTCATAACAATAACAAGAACAAATGTAATATGTGTAAAGCGCCAAAGCGTCAGAACCTGACGGGTACCAGCGCTATATAAATGACCATATAATGTTGTTTTTTTTATTTTTTATTAATAGTATAGTATTAATGACTGCTTTGAGAGAAATAGTTGTTTTATTACGCTCAAGGGAAGGTTAGAATTGTGCTATTCCCCGAGGCTTGCCGAGGGGAATAGCCCAATTGTAACCTTCCCGAGAGCGTATGAAAACAACTATTTCTCGAATATTAAAGCAGTCATTAATACTTTTATATGCCGAAAAAAAATAGACTAAAAAATGAAAAATTAAAAATATTTATCAATTTGTCGAAGACGGGATTCGAACCCTTGCGTACAACAAGAGGTGTATCGAAAACCAACGCTTAGACCACGCGGCTATGGCCCGCCGTTAACATGCTTGGTAGTTTTCTCCAATATATACATTAAAATGGATTGAAACCGGCTTCGCGTGTGATGAATGCTTCGCAAAAGCTCCATATACGGACTCTTCTTTTACTTTTGCAATGCATATTGGCACGAACTTAGATCAAGATCTATCGGCAGATGTTGTTTTTTTGTTTTGGAAGTTTATTTTCGTCTTCATGTCAACAATGCAAGATAAAATTGTCGGTAAGATCGATCGAGATTCAATTGTATTGAAATTACCGACCAATCCTTCGCACACATACGGCATCCTCCATCGCTCAAACCTTTTTTGAACATGTAAACCTATGGGGTAACCATGGAGGCTGACCAACTTTTTTTAATAACCATGGTTATTAAAAATATTGAAATGTTTTATGCATGGTTACCGAGAATTTTACAGGAACAGTTGAAGTTTATGAATGCAATTCGACCAATCAGATGGCTGGATTTCTTAAGTGAGGTATATAATAATAAATAGAGATACAATTTTAAGAGTAAATAGACTCAAACTTCAAGTAGAATGTATGACTCCTGCTCTCCTTATTCCCTTTTCTTAAAATCTTTTTTTTGCAAAATGTTGTCAATAAACTGGAGGCTGAAATATAACTCTTCTGAAGGCAATGCAATTTACCTCTTTTTCTGCGTGAAATATTTCTTTGAGATTTCAATGCCTAATCTTCCTTTCTACAGTACAGTACTTTCTTCCTTGCTACAGTACATAATTCTTCATTTCATTGAAATCTTACTAGGCCTGTCTCCATCAGCTCGAGATTGCCAAATATCCTGCTATTTGAACTATCCTAAATGCAAATTATCCAGTTAATTTGCGTCTTCATCAGCACGAAGTTGCAATTAGCGGGATATGTGGTCCTGATAATCATCCCAAGATATATTGGGCTTGTTTGCAAAATATCCCGCTATTTGTCCGGTCCGTCTTCACCAGCCCAAAAAGACTTGCACTATGCACGAGCGCTGAGCAAAATATCTCGAGCTCAAGTTTCAAGTTTTAAGGTCGAATCTCGAGCTGATGAAGACGCGATTTGTAACTTATTTCCCAAATTAGAAATAGCGGGCTATTTAGCAATCTCAAGCTGATAAGGACAGGCCTATTGACATACCCTTGTGTTGGAGTTCTTCTGTGGTTTGATGTTAAGTTGAAGGTCTGGTCTTCTTTCCCAGTTAGCCGCAAGGTGCCATTCTTCTCCCAGTCCTCGCACCTGACAACGAACCTAAAAGGAAAATAAATAAAAAAATCTTGAAGACTTCCTTGTATGACATATTTAACACAGAGTCGCTTTTCATGTAGGTTTATAAATTGAAATTGAAGGTAAAACTCTGGCATCTATAATTTGTTGATGACATTTCAAATGCAAAATTAAATATATGTTACCGGTAAGCAGAGGTTCTGAAAATTCAGTAACCGGTAGCTTTTTAAAGTGACAATGCTTTAAATTCATGAATATGAACTTGAGAGTATTGCCACACTTTATTTTATCTACATGTATTGCAGCACCTTTTTTTTCCATAGCATTTTACCACTTTCACGTCTTTACCTGTTATACATAATGGGCATAAATCAACCGCAAATTAAAGGTTCAGTAGACAAAGTAAATAAGTTATACATTGAGTAGAAGTTCAGAAATTTCACCTTTTGATTAAACAAATAAAGGTAATAATTCACAATTGTGCTTTTGTTTTCTTGCAGCGTATTGTGGTTTTCGTGGTTGAATTTATGGTTGCACAGAGAGCAAATTACCACAACCACAAGGCTCATTAAACACCATGATCAGTGTATGTGTTGCGTGTTTAGAGGCAGAGGGGCATTAAATCATGCACATAAACACAGAGGTAAGGCCTTTTTGGCTCCAGACAGACATAATCTACAGAGGAAATGCAACAGATATACATGGACATTCAGTGGTGGCTACGGCCTTCTCACAAATAGTATTCTGTGTTTGTTATTTTTAAGACCCTGTTGAACGTGAACAATTAAATACCGGTAGATGAATTATATATCAACAGAAAGCTTTTAAGTCGTAGATTACAATGATATCACTTTGTGTGTGTGTGTGTTAGTGTCAGACAGAGGAATAACAGCTCTCTGAAAAACTCAAAATCTAAAGTTTTTTAAAATTAGAAGTTGTCAGCCTAAAAACTATCTATCAACTTGATGACATCATTTGATGTCGAGTACCGGTACGCAAATCCACAATGACTTTGCATGGTTCCTCATGTTATGCTCTTAAACTAGCAAAGCACATTTAACAAAGACACAAGTACATATACAACAATTACGTTGAAAATACGACAAGAACAAAAGACTTGTAGTACACACAGCGAAAACAGGCATTCCTGTTCTTTGAAGACCACTTGCAAAAATACCAAAAATATATTAATAATACAAAGACAAACAAAATACATCTAAACCTGTACATTTTCATGACAATTAAAAAGAAAGAGTACAGTGATATAGAGAGGCAAGAGAAATAAGGATGTAATGAGAGAGAAAAGAGAAGGGAATAAAAACAGTGAATTACAAAAGTGTGGTATAATTATTATGTAGAAGCGCTTGGCAATACGGTACTTTTAGAGCATCTAAAACATATTGTGCCTTGAGAAAAGACTGTATACCATCAAAAATCTAACTTCCCTGTAGAATAAAATGCCTGTCCTCGAAGTGAACTTGAAAATGAATAGAATTGGAATTCATGAATAGATGAGGCTAAATAAAGACATAATTTAACTCTTAGGAATTCATACCCTGGCTATATAGTTGCACCTAGAGCACGTAACCGTAGCGTGTGACCTTAGCCTAGTGAATGCACTGAATATATTAGAAGTAACACAGTCTTGTGATCACACACTGTTGCACTGTAGCTTCAGAAACATAGTTACTACAGAATATGTTTTCACTTGCATCTACATGTACATGACAGAGATCAAGTGCAGAGCTGTTAAATAATAAATTTTAAATACAGGGTGCATATCACCAATTAGGTGGTCTTCCATGAGGCCCTGTTTAGTGAGAACAAAACAAATAACAGCAGTAATAAACGAAATAGATAAATACATAAGCATATAAACAGTAAAAATACAAACTAATCGGTATTCTCATAGTTAATTAAGCCAACAATAGAATTTTTAATCAAAAGGGAAAGAATTAATCTGACTGTGTACGTGCTAAAAGAGAAATGGGGCTGCCTTTAAGTTGTAGGGCTACAACAAACGTTGAAAGCATGAATTGTAAACAATAAGGGCACAATTTCACTAAGGGGGGGGGGGGGGGAGGTGTGGATTTTTTCTTAAATATCAATTAGGGTTTTTAAATATTTAATCATAAACAAAATATCAAACTTTGACACTTTCTTATAGCGGCAAATACAAACAAAAAGTAGACTACCCTACTGCCTGTATAAATCATCTTGGGTTGGGTATACAACAAAAACATGTACTGAAGGCAAAGTGTTAACATTGTACATGTAGTTCCCCCCCCCCCCCTCTTCCCTCACCCATACCCCCATGGCATAGAATCAGTGTCAATGGAAGTTCATCATCTAAGTACTGGTATACTTAAAGGTAATACAAAGTTTTGGGAAATTTTGAAAATTGGGTGGATAATGATTCTTTACAATTGTGATATATTTGGATGCCCCTGTGAGTGTATTACAAGCGCTGGGAAATTTAGCCTCTAAAACACGTCTGCTTTCGAGAAAAATTGAATATAGCAATTTACCGGTGCTCCCGGTAAATTTTCAAAAAAATCAAATATCGCGTACGGCCGTTCAATGGTAGCTGCGACCATGAAAATCTCAGAATATGTAGTTGAGATATAAAATTTCCCAACAGGAATAGCTAATCGGTCGATTTTAGTCAAGAAACATTGTTTTATAGCATAATTAATACCTTGAACTTGAGAGGGAGCTATACATCATAAAGAGCTTATTATTTACAATTTCATAACTTTAGACTCGATTTCAACCGGGACAACGTTCACTGAATATTGTAGGATCGCATATGTTTCCAATATGTTCATTTGGACCAAATTCATGACCCAATACCAACACTTTGTAGTACCTTTAAAGGTATCACAAAGAATTGGTAAGGGATCATGAATTTGGTTCAAATGAACATAATTATTAGAAGCCTATGCGATTTTCCAATATTCAGTGATCGTTGTCGCGGTTGAAATCGATTCTAAAGTAATGAAATTATAAATAATAATTTTTTTTTTTGTATATTGATCTCTCAAGACTGATACTACTTTAGCTCTAAAACAATGTTTCTTAACTACAATCGACCAATTTGCTACTCGTGTTATATATATCAGAACTGCATATTCTGAGAATTTTGTGATCGCAGCAACCATGAAATGGCCTTAGACTGATATTACTTTAGGTCTAAAACAATGTTTCTTAACTACAATCGACCAATTTGCTACTCGTGTTATATATCAGAACTGCATATTCTGAGAATTTCATGATCGCAGCGACCATGTAGGCGCGATTTGAAATATTTGAAATTTACCAGGATTACCAGTAAATTTTTTATCATTCAATTTTTCGAAAGCAGAAGTGTTTAAGGGGCTTATAATACATCCACTGGGGCATCCAAATATATCAACATTTTAAAGAACTACTATCAATCCAATTTTCAAAATTTCCTGAAACTTTGCATTACCTTTAAAGATACAAACATTTCATGGAGACTACCATTCTGATTGCATAATCAGATAATTGCGCTATTAAAAAGAGAAATTCCTCAGGTCTACACCCCCTCATCTGCCATATATGCCTGTGATAGCATGCAAAGTGTTTTAGTACATCAACCTCCACTACCACCCCCCCCCCCCCTCCCCCTTACCACTGAATCTGTGGATTAGGAGGGATGAAATCGCCTTGCATTGAAAATCCATCTAACCACACTTGATAGCCCTTGATGTAGAGGTTCGATAATACTGCTGGATTATAACGACCACATTAACCCACACGGTGTGTTTTTAAAGGGAAACCAATCTCGATAGCAAATAACTCTAGAGGAAAGCAGAAAAATGAGAGAAGTACCGGTACACTGATGAAAATATGAATGAATTCTGACCAAAAATAATAGAAACAAAAATTAACAATCAATTCATTTTTATCGATTCTTCAGCTTCCAAAAGAAATCAAAGAGTTACCAATAAGTAGTTATCATATCATTGACTTTTCTTTTATGTTATTTTTTTTATAATTTCATGTCAGGTTGGACTTCAAGTTTAAAGGCTATCACACATCCTTGTATAATTGGGCAGTACCGTGGGTGAGTGTGTGGGTGTGTGGAGGAGAAATAGAGGGAGAGGAATGAGAGTAAAAAGGAGATAAGAAAGAGATCTTGTATTTATTTAGATTCTGTGTTTTATCTTTAAATATTCCAAAAAGCTTTTCCATGAATTTTCATCATCTCTTCCATTCCTAAGCTTGAAGATTGTGCATTTGGGTGTGGATGTGTGTGTGTGGATGGGTGTGTGTTAGAGAGAGAGGAAGAGAGAGAGAGAAAGAGAGAGGGGGAAAGAGATAGAAAGAAAGAGAGAGAGAGAGGGGAGAGATTAAATAAAGGGGTGACAAATCTTGAGCGATGGAGGTGGATTGGGCAGTGTGTCTATGTGTGCGTGAGAGAGAGAGAATGAGAGATAATGGGAGAGAGAGGTTTAATAATATTTCAGTGAGGTGTTTTCATTCTAAATACTAATATTCTGAAGAAGGTGCATTATTAATCATCTCTTTGTCAGCTTGAAGAACGAAACCATGGGGAAGGCAGGCAGGCGGGCATACAGACTGCTCATTGAGGTTTGCAGGTAAGCGCTAGATGGCTTCGCGTTCCTGCAATTCCTCCTTAGCCTGGCCGAGTCAGTATCAAATTACTGAATATGATTCACACTGTAAACATGCCTTGGGCACAGAAACATACTGTGTGATTGGCCATCCTATATGATTCTACATCTCTTCTTTCTTTCTTTCGCTCCCACCATACTCCTCCTTCTGTCTCTCAATCTCTGTCTCTCTGTCTCTCTCTTCATCTTGCCCTATCTTTCTGCACCCTCCTCTCGCTGTTTTGTCTTTTGTAATATTTGAGTATAATTAAACCTCGCTCAGTAGCTTAGTATACCAAACAGCATATACATGTAGGTACCTAAGTATTAAAGATAAAGGTGAGTTCTGGTAATGCGATTGCACTGTGAAAGAAAAGGTGTGGA